AGCCTGGAGCTGATCTGGGCGAGTTGGCCAGCTCCCTGGCCGTGGACGGCAAGGCTGCCACCCAGGCAGCGGCCGCGGTGTGCTCCGCCCCCTTGGCGGCACACCAAGCTCGTGCTGGCCAGGGCAGCCTGAAACACGGTGGTAAGGCCCCAAGGACTGGTTCCTCAGCATCTTCGGCGGCGGCGGCGGGCTTGGGCCAGGGAGGCCTGGCACCGCTGGCGGGGCCCCCGCCGCCCTCGGCTGCGGCCGCGGCGGCTTCGGAGCCAGAGCAGGGTGCGCGCGGGCGGGCGGCCTCTGCCCAGCCCGCCAGGAGTGGCCAGGCGCTGCCTGGGACGGCCAGGGCCGCTTCGTCGGAGCCGCGGCCGCATACGGTCGAGATCATCGGCCACTTCGTGGTCTGCGTGGTATGCGGTTCCTACTACAGCTCGGTGGCCAGGAACCTCGGCGGGCCGTGCAGGCGGCTGGACCCGCGCGACCCAGGCGACAGGGAGCGCCTCAGGCGCATCCGCCGCATCCAGCGCGGCCAGGACCCAAAAACTGGACGGGATCTGAGTTGAGGCCGTTGTGCTCGTTCAATGATATGTCTGGTTTCAGTGCGTGCGGCCCCCCCCCTTGGCGCGGTGTTTTCCGTGAGCTGAGGGGCCTGGGCGGGGCTGCCGCCCCGCTCGGGGCGCTCGGGCCTACCTTCCCGCGTTGCGGGTGGCCTGGGCGCGGCGCGTTTTCTCGCTGCTTTTCGGCCCCCCTTGGCGGCAGGCTGAGGGGCCTAGGGTGGGGCGCGGCCTCGAGGGGGCCTCGGCGCCGCCGCCCTGGGGAGCGCGCGGGGGCGCTGCCCGCGGCTCGGCCCCTCTCTCGGGCTCGGCAGGCGACGGACGTCGCCCGAGGGCCCTGCGCACGGGCCTGGCGAGGTGCAGACGCCCCAGGCCGCCGAGGCACCAAAGCACCAAAACACACACACACACACACACACACACACACACACACACACACGCACACGCACGCACGAACGCACGCACGCACGCACGCACGCACGCACGCACGCACGCACGCACGCACGCACGCACGCACGCACGCACGCACGCACGCACGCACCCACCCACCCACACACACACACACACACACACACACGCACGCACGCACACACACACACACACACACACACACACGCACACACGCACACACACACACACACGCGCACACACACACACACACATACGCACACACCTTCTGGTGTCGCGGCCGCGCGCGGAGCAACGCCGCGGAGTCGGGCTCGCGGCCGGGGACGGGAGTGGGCGACGCGGACGGGCAGACCACGCGCACGCGCACACACCAGACGGCCGCAGGCGCGGCCGGCGGCTCTTCCTGCACACCGTGGTGCAGCTGTACCTCCGCGAGATGTCGTTTCCGCAGGGGTCCCCGCGGCTCACGGCTGCAGCCGGGCTCGGGCCCGCACAGCTTGCACCCGTGCCACTGGCTGACTCGTATACCCGAAGAGGAAACACCTGCATGAGCATAATTTTCGGAGCCCCGCGCGGACGTCCTGAATCCGAGGTGGGGGTCCGCTGGCGGCGTCTCCGGCGCCGCCCCTGGCGCGCTCCGCGCGCCAGGGAGGGGGAGCCAGCGCCGATCCAGGAAGTCCGTGCGTACCTTCGAAAGTTCATGTTTATGCCGCCGTTTTTTTGTCTGCATACTTCGCGCTACTATTATTACTATGACCACGACTCTGCGGGGGGAGTCCTGCCAAGCGCAGGCAGCAGCGACAGAGGGCCTCCTGCCAACGTTACGTACAGAGCCTTGGACGTGAAGCGGATCGCGTGGCTGCTCCCACCAAAGGTGGGTAGCACCTTCGTGAACACCCTGCTCGGGTACGCTTGTTCTGGGATGGATGATGGCGAGCACGTCACCAGGAATATGTATGACGCCTTCGTGCATTTCAAGAGCAAGAAGGTCCCAGACTCGTGGAATTGTCCGGTCTTAGAGGACGGTAAGCCAGCTTTGGACCTTCCTTGCTCCCACAAGCCCATCACGTGGAGTAAGCTTCCCTGCAATAACTGGGATAAGTCGAATGGCAATTTCATTATGATCTTGCGCGACCCTGAACAGCGAATATTGAGTGGTTACCCGGACAGGCATGGCTTGAGTGCTAACGCGTCGATCATGACTGAACTCCAATACGCTAAGACCGTGCAGGGCTGCATGGTACGGATGCTCCTGGGTTGGCATTGTTATGATAGAACGAAATTGAATATCTAATGGCCTTGGGCCTATGCCTCCACCGTGGCTTTTGGAGGCGTGTGGGGATCTCGTGAGGGCATATCGAAGGCCTCCTGGAGGCGGTTCTGAACGTGTCTTGGGACCTCTCAGGGACCTCTTGGGGACCTCTTGGGGCCTGGTTCGGGTCTCTCTTGGGAGGCCTCCTGGAGCTTCCGATGGGCCTCTTGGGAGCCTGCTGGCGGTCTCGGGGGTCGTCTTGGGGCGGAGGGCGTGTTTAGTCAGTTTGAGTTGCCCCTCTTGCGCGGTCTTGGGTCGTCCTTGGGGCCGTGTTGGGGCCCTCTTGGGCCGCCTGGGCCCTCTCTGGGGCGTGTTGGGCCGCCTTGGGGCGACGTTGATGGCCTCTTTCGTCGTCCTGGAGCGTCGTGAGTCTGGAAGGGCGAGAACGTCAAACACTGCTCCAGGACTTCTTAGGCAAATCGGCGATTCCTCTGAGAGGGTCTCTTGGAGTCCTCTTGAGACGTCTTGGGGGTCTCGTGGGCCGTCCAAATGCCATCTTGGACGTCTTGGAGCGCTCTTGGGCCCTCTCGGAGGCCTCTTGGACCAGCTTGGAGGCCCACTGGGGCTGTCCGGGGGGCCTCTCGGGTGCCAGCGTGCTCCACGCCCCTGAAAGTACGTGAGTTTTGGGCCCAGGCCCATCAATACTGCTCAATCCTCGGGGTTTGGGACGGAGACATCAGGGGGAATGAGGGCACTCCGACTCGTGCCTCGCGGCACGGTGGCGGATAAACTCCGTGACCGATGAGCAAATCAGCACGGCGATCAAGCATTTGGACGAAGGTTTTGCTTTTGTTGGGATTCTTGAGGAGATCGAGATGTGCATTTGTCTGTTCCACGCCATGTTCGGAGGCATTTGTCGCAGCGCCGAGTTCGTAAACATCCGGCCAGCGTATGTGGGGGCTACGGTCCATCACGATACCTCTGTCTTGAACGGATGGCTCGACAAGATCGATCGTCCTCTGTACGACCATGCAGTCAGTGTTGTGCATTCCCGCATGAAGATGTACGGAGTCAGCAGGGACACGTGCAGCTCCAGGATCTGCCCCTGTTGCCCTCCCGTCTTTCGGCGCGCTGGCCAGGAGTCTGCAGAAGAGTTTGAGCCGTGATGCAGCCAGCAAAACAGTTCATGTTCAGCCACGCGGAGAGGGGGGGCAGGGGGAGGAGGTAATATTCATTAGAAGTACCCCTGCTTCTTAGAAGGCGCGGACCTCATCCGTAGATGTGAGGCTGGCGCTTTCTAAGAAGCAGCCTCCTTCGAAGAAGCCTTCCCCCCTCCCCCTACCTCCTTGTGCGCGCCGCCAATGTGCACTGATGCAAAACATAAGAACACATGGGAAACAAGTGGGCACTGGGGGGAAGAGGAATGGGAACGATGGGACATCCCGGACCGTGTGTCGTTTTATGTGTCTACCTCTGGGCCCCTTTTTTCTACGTTCTTTTCGGTTCTCCACCGTGATGGGCTTCCTCGGACCTCGCGGTTGTTACCCCTTGGGCTGTTCCTCGGGAGTTTCCTGGGCCATTGTGGAGCCGTATGGAGTTTGGAGGCCAACATGGGCGCCTGGGGGCAAGTTCGTGGGGACGAGGCCGTCAGCGCTCGATCTAAGCAGTGGTTTGGCGATCTCGAGGGCCGCCCTCGTTTATTTACACTGCTGTTCTGCAGCAGGGGCGGATCGAAGACGGCGAGGGAGCACGAACAGAAGACGAGCTCGGCAGTAGTTGTCCATTTTGACGTGTCTCGGGCAGTAGTTGTCCTCCTCCTCCTCCTCCCCCTCCCTTTTCCTCTGCACGGAAGACGGCGGCGGGGTTTCTCAGACGACGGCGGGGCTTCTCAGAAGCCCTCGCGCCGTCTGAGAAGTGTCCTGCGTCGTCGGAGAAGGCTTCAGAGCTGTTCTCAGAAGGAGCCGAGGGCTTCTGAGAAGCCCCGCCGCCCTCTTGAGGAGGCATGCTCCATGTCACTTCCCCCTTGAACTCCCCGCCAAGCGTTAGTTCAATCTAAGCATTGGTCATTGCAGGCAATTTTCTCTGACATCTATCAATGTCGGAAGGCAAGGCAACAAAAAGTCCAGAGGGCACAATTGTTTGACGGCCAACATCTTAGCCCTCAAGAAGGTAGGCATTGACACATGGTGGCCTTCAGTGAGCTTGTTGCCGCGATCCCGTGGTAGGCATGCCGCCCCACCTGATCACTCTCCATGTCACTTCAGTCCTCCACAGGTTTCCAGAGCTGGCGGAAGAAGGCCGCACGTCAGCCCCAGCTCCCAGGGGGGTCCCAGAGGTCCAGAGAGGGCCAGGCACGTCCACACTTCCCGAAGGGAGTCTGCGGTGCGGGGAGGCACGGGGAAGAGGCCGCGGAGAGGTCGGGGTGCCCCAGGTCGGGTCGCAAGCCGGCCTGCAATAGTTGACTCTCGGCATCGAGGGTCGGCGTTGTTCCTCGGGCGCGCGCGATCGCACAACCAGAGCCCCGATACGTTTGCCTTGTGTGGCTCGGCTGTGAAGGAACGCGTTTGAGCGGACGGGAATATTTTTTTGTCCCAATGCGTCGGGTCTGCAGCATCTGAACAAAAACAACCAGAGCCCCGATATTTCGCATCTGCGTTCGGTTGAGAACGTCTCCCTGGCCATCGCATGTCTCCCTGTGCAGCGTTCAGCTGATCTTGCAAACTTCGTTCACCAGTGTCGCACATCGGTGTTGGTGCTCATCAGACTCTAGATCTGAGCATCGCGGAAGGGGAGGACTTGGCGTGCTTACCATAAGTATTGCGAGGACAGCGTTGTGTCGGGAGCATTGCATGTAGTGTGAGAGGTACTTACCTATACGAAGGTGGTTGTCGGGAATGTTCATGGCAGTCTCTGGCAATCGGCATGTCGGTGGCTCGAACGGGTAACATTGGTCATTGCCATGTGTTCTATCCTCCCTGTACAGATGTGCGGACACACGTTCAAGGAGCTACATGCGTAATGTCATTGCAGCGCGGCTTCTCGTAGCATTAGTATTCCGACTCCCAATGACGTATGCATGGGTAGCCCGCGATCTTGTCGCAGAGACGAAGCGCTAGTGAAACGTTGATTCAGCTGCTCTAGTGAGCTGTCTCGTTTGTGTGTTTACTCGGGGCGCCTCTTGAGCTCCACGGCGTACAACGCCCCCGGCAGGACAACGCAGAGTGGGTTTTCACCATACACAGGTGCGCCAACTTGATACAGAAAGTCTGGAGGCCTGATGTTGCTCGCTCCCTTGTCATGCTAGAGTTCGCTTCTGCAGCCGATCGTGTCTGTTTACTGAATCTCGATGGTTGTCGCGACGCCTATGTGTGCTTCAGTCTTCGCCACTATATTTGCCACTCGTGCCAGCTCTCGCGCGTGCCTCCGTGCTGGGGCGCCTGCATCCTCGCAAAACGTCCTAGTCAGCGTGCTGCCTTTGCCTGTGCTCGTTCTCTCCGACGCACACATGCTGCATCGATCCGGTCACGAGTGCACGATTGACCCTATGATTGGGTAAGGGCAAGTCGTGAAGGTATAGTGCCTGACAGTTGTTTTCATAGTTCTGGCTTCTTTGGCGAATGCTTTGTAGCTCTGACATTTCGTCTGGCGCTGTCTTAGCATACCTTGAGAGGGCAATGAGCTCCATGAGGGAAGGATATCGAAACATCTTGCATATGCGCGACGGGCATCGCATTAATTCGACCATCGTATATCGAGCTGACCATAGACCCTAACCGCATTTGTTTATTAGACGCCTGATAGGTAGTGCCACTCGGCCCATCCCGCCGCCGGGCCGAAGTCTTACACAAGAAGCATGTTGGGGTCTCTTTGAAGCATCTTAGAAGCTCTTGCCTGTCCCATGGGACCCATTTAGGAGCCTCTTAGAGGCCTCTTGGGGGCCTGTCTGTTTGGGACCTCTGGGGGCCTTCTGTGGTACCCGCAAGATTCCAGGTCCTCCAGGTGGCCTTCTCTGGGGACCTCTGTGGCCCTCCAGGTTCCATAGATTTGTCGTGTCTGAGAAGTGTCCTGTTGCCTTCCAGGGAAGTTGGTCATGCGTTTCTCTTTGTTTGTTTAGGCGTGCCCGGTTGACTTGCATCGCTGTTTTGCCTTGCCCTGCCAATCGTTCCTTCTCTCGCCACTCGTGTTGCCCTGCTCTTGCCGCTTGCCTGCGCTGTCACGAGAAATCGCACACGACGTTAACATGACTAAATCTCCAGACTTCTGCGAGGATGTATTCGGTCGGTGCTGGACAACCTACACCCCAGCGCCTCCAGCGCTGCCCCTGGCGTGCTCCGCACGTCGTGGAAGGTGTGTGGAGAGGGCTGCCCAGCGCCGACCCAGGAAGCCCGCACTGTCCTCCGAGCGTTGCTGCTGGCGCCGGCTCGGGTTTCCCGCTTCTCGCCCACGCCTCGCGCTTCGCTCCTCCGCCCTTCCCTCCTCCGCCCCCGCCCTGCTGCCCAGGGGCCATCTCGCCTCGCCTCGCTCTGCCTGGCACTTGCTTGGGATGCCTAGGCTCAGGAGGGAAAAACACACACAGACACAATTAATCGTCGATTCCCCAGAAAAGATGGGAAAATATGGGGATGGGGGGGAAGACAAACAAATCCCAAATATGGGAAAATATGGGGATGTGTTTTATTTGTGTGTATTTATTTGTGTGTCCTGGGGCCCCTTCATAGTCTCTGGCCTTGTCCGGCACAGGCGGTGGCGGTGGCCTCGAGACTCGCTCTCCTGGACCCGTCCTCGGCTGCGTTGCGACCACAAGCTTAGACGGGCCCAGCCTTGGCGACGAGGCGGTTCAGGGAAGGTCAGGGACGCCCAGAAGCCCTCGCAACCTCGGTCCTCGAAACCAGGCATGCCACGTCTTGTGCCCCAACGGCTTGCCTGTGAGGGTTCTGCATCATGCTTTCAAAGCCCGCTGAGGGAGCCGAGGCCCCCGACATCAGTGGCCCAGCTTGGCCCCCCATGCCCGAGGGATGGCTCTGCAGGCTCGGATGCAGGCTTGCGAGGCAGCGGCGGTGGCAAGGACTGCCGCGTCGCCCCCGAGCGGTGCTAGTCGCTAGAGCGCCGCGAAGCGACGCACCTCGACAGCGTGCTGTCGCTCCAAGCTGGAGCTATGTTTGATGATAGACCGTTCAGGCCCCATGGGATCGCTGATGACGAACATAATTTCGCATCGCGGCCTCCCACCATGAACTGTGTAGAGCTGGACAGGCTTCTCTGCCGTGACTGCGCCATGTTCTAGAGGCCTCCCAGGGACCTCTGGACCCTTTTACCAAAGGGCCCGCTACCTCATCCTGAGTAGTTTGGTTGACTCCCCCGAAGCCCCTATTCGGCAAGGAGGTCAGTGCGGAAGTGAGGGAAGTGAGAGGGAGCAGGCCTTCTCAGACGGCGGCGGGGCTTCTCAGAAGCCCACGCGCCTTCCGAGAATCTTGGTAAGCCTTCTCCGATGCTACAGACGGCTGCTCGGAAGGCGCGAGGGCTTCTCTTCTGAGAAGCCCTGCCCCTGTCTGAGAAGGCCTGCCCGCTTTCACTCCCCCCGGGCTCGACGCGGAGGGCCGAAACTTGCGAAAAAACGATTCGGATTTAGTCTAAAACGTTGGAGGCGGAGGAGGAGGAGGAGGATGGCGATGGCGATGGCGATGGCGATGATGTTACTGATGATGCTGATGATGATCAGGATGTGGATGAGGATACTGCTGCTGCTGATGATGAGGCTGATGATGGTGGTGATGATGATGATGCTGATGATGATCACGATGATGATGAGGATGATGATGATGCTGATGATGACGATGATGATGATGAGGATACTGAGTATAAGTATGATGAGGATGAGGATGATGATGATGATGACTATGAGGATGAGGATGAGGATGAGTGTGAGGATGATTATGAGGATGATTATGATTATGAGGATGATGGTGATGATGACCATGACGATGAGGCTGAGGATGATGATGATGAGTGTGATGATGGTGATGATGGTGATGATGATGATGATGATGATGATGATGATGATGGTAATGATGAGGATGATGATGCTGGTGGTGATGACCATGCAGATGAGACTGATGATGATGATGAGTGTGATGATGGTGATGGTTGTGGTGATGATGGTAATGATGAGGATGAGGATGATGATGATCGTGGTGATGATGCTGGTGATCATGATGATACTGATTATGATGATGCTGATGGACATGATGATGACGATGATGATGATGCTGCTGATGATGATGATGCTGATGATGCTGCTGATGATGATGATGATGATGATGATGATGATGATGATGATGATGATGCTGATGATGATGATGATGATGATGACGCTGACGCTGACGCTGACGCTGACGAGGACGAGGACCAGGACGATAATGAGGGCGACGACGGCGACGATGTCGGCGACGGCGACGACGGCGATGACGAGGAAGAGGAGGAGGAGGAGGAGGAGGAGGAGGAGGAGGAGGAGGAGGTGGAGGAGGAGGAGGAGGGGGAGGGGATGGTGATGAGGATGAGGCTGCTGCTGTTGATGTTGCTTGTGCATGGCAAGGGGAATTCATGAGGATGTAGACCCCGTCAGGCCGACCTTTCTTCCGCGGGCTACCCTGGCATTCCCAACCCCGCTACAGCTTGGGAACGAAGACTGCCAAATTAGCCCAATAATTCTTTACGCTTCGCGTATCCCCACCAGCCCATCTCACAGCAGCAACTCTTGCGAAGCATGCCGACAGTCGTGTTTTTCAGGCGTGTGTCCGCTTGGCCCCGCATATCTCCCCTGTTCCTCCTTCCTCCCGCCTCCTTGTACATCCTCCTTGTGGGGGGAGCGGGAGAAGGACGAGGCGGAGGAGGAGGGAGAGAAAGCGCTCCTCGTGATTTGAGTCGTTTGGGGTTTCTCGTCCTGGTGTGAGTCGTTCGGGCCCTTCTTCCTGGTGTGAGTCGTTCGGGCTCTTCGTGGTGTGAGTCGTTCGGGCTCTTCGTCCTGGTGTGAGTCGTTCGGGCTTCTCGTGGTGTGAGTTGTTCGGGCCCCTCATCCTGGTGTGAGTCGTTCGGGCCCCTCCTCCTGGTGTGACTCGTTCGGGCTCCTCGTGGTGTGAGTCGTTCGGGGCCCGCGTCGTGGTGTGAGTCGTTCGGGCTCCTCGTGGTGTGAGTCGTTCGGGCGCCTCGTCCTGGTGTGAGTCGTTCGGGCCCCTCCTTGTGGTGTGAGTCGTTCGGGCTCTTCGTGGTGTGAGTGGTTCGGGCCCCTCGTCCTGGTGTGAGTCGTTCGGGGGCTCCTCGTGGGGCCTCTTGGGGGCCTCTTGGGGGGGCCTCTTGGGGGCCTCTTGGGGGCCTCTTGGGGGCCTCTTGGGGGCCTCTTGGGGCCTCTTGGGGCCTCTTGGGGGCCTCTTGGAGGCCTCTTGGGGCCTCTTGGGGGCCTCTTGGGGGCCTCTTGGAGGCCTCTTGGGAGCCTCCTGGGGGCCTCTTGGGGCCATCTTGGGGCCTCTTGCGACCTCGTCAGAAGCGCAAATGGGCGCTGCCCCCTGAGAAGGACAAAATGAGCCCAAAACCTTCGCACAATCAATGATTTTGCTATGAGGGAAGAGAAGCGCGGCCCCCTCAGGAGGCCAAAATGGGGCCAAAACCGTAGTAAAATCAATGAGTTTGGCTTCAAAGAAGAGCAGAGGGGCCAAACTCGGCCCCCCCGTCGGGGCCAGAATCCTCGTGAGGGTCGTCGTTTTTTGGCCCTCCCAGGAGTCGAAAAAGACCCCCTTGAGAACACCCGGGGCTCCCTGTCCAGGCCCAGGGGGAGGGGGTAGGGGGAGGGGTAAACCCCTCCCCGAAGGGGAAGAAGGGGGGTTGAGGACAGAGCGGGCTCTCTAAACCACTCACGCCCAAAGGGCTGGTGGGATTACTGTGGGATGCCCGCTTTGGGCCAAAATTCATCGTAGCAGGTCGCATGACAGGCCATGCTCCTCAATGTTGCTCGAATTACCGTTAAGAATCCGAGCGTGGCCAGGATTGGCGTCGCCAGAATCATGCTGCGGCAGACTTCAACGGAGCCCTCGGCGAGCACGGGTATGCTAACGGGCGCTGCGAATAAAGCTCGATCGAGGCTCCAAGCGGATGCAAGAGCGCCTCCATTTACAGAAATCGTGATTTCCCAGACGCTAGTGTTCGGATCTGGAACCCTGGAAGTTCCGAAAAGTGCGGTTGATGTTGCAGTTGCTTTTGTTGTTGCCACCCTCTGGAACTCAGCCGCAAACACAACTGAGAAAAGATGGCCAACGAAGAGGCAGGTCAGAAGGGACTGGCGGCCACGCCAGCGGAAGCGACGCTCAAGCAGCAAGAGCCGCAGATCGCGGACGAGTGTTGCCGGCAGCCATTGAAGGCAACCGACTTCACACCCTATCATACAAAGACATCAGCATTGACAATGGTGTCGGCAGATATCGAAGTTCTGGATGTCGTTCGAACGTCACGCTTCGAGATGGGTCAGAAGCTGCAGCACCTCCTTGGCCTTGCCTGGGGCGGTCTTGTCGCTCAGGTTGTTCACCTGGCATCGCTCGGACGTGTGCATTTTTTCCTCGGCGAGGACCCTGGAGGAGCATCCTGGACCATCGAGCCAAAACAAAAGCACGCACGAAACCGAAAAATGCACAGGGAATGGGCGTCCGAGCGATGGCAAGTTTAGCGACCAGAGCCTTGCTGCTGCGGCCCTGCGTCAGGCCCGGCGTGCGAAGCCCCTGCGATCCATGGGGCGTCGGGGGCGGCCAAGAGGGGGGTGATGACCATCAGGAGGGGAAGAAACACATAGACACAATTAGTCGTCGATCCCCAGGAAAATACAGGAAAATATGGGAAGTGGTGGGGAAGACAAAAACTCAGAAAATATAGGAAAATATGGGGAATCTTTTTATTTGTGTGTATTTATTTGTGTGTTTGTGGGCCTCTTCAGACCAGGGCGCGCGCGTCGGGGGCGGCAAAGAGGGGGGTGGTGACCAGGGGGGGGGGATATCACGGCGTCTTCGGCTCCTGGGAGCCCTCGCTGGGCCTCGGGGCCGTCCAGAAAGGGCTCAGGATGCAAAGCTGGTCCCGGAGAAAGGGCTGGGATTTCCAGGGACCCCGTATTGATCGGGGGCGGCAAAGAGGGGGGTTGTGACGAGGGGGGGATGGGTATCATTGCAGGGGCAATGATATCTCCCCAGATTTCATGGCGCCTCTTCTTATTTCACCACGTCCCTGCTCCCCCCCTGGGCCGCGCACATGCCGCCGGGCATGACTTGCACCCCCCCCCCTCTTGGACGCCCCCCTCTTGGCCGCCCCCGGTCCATGGGGACGGCACTCGAGCTGGCGAGGATCTGGAGCTCAGCATCCGAGAGTCCCGTGCCATCATCGCCCGCCGGGGCGGCACAGTCAGGATCGACGAGCGTTTTCCTCCTCGCCTGCTCGGGCGGGGCCTCCGCTGGGCCGACGAGGCGCGCGATCTGCTTCACGACCTCTTCGACGTCGTTGCGCGGCGAGGGGCGTGCCGAGTACGGGGTCCCTGACAGCTGATGCTTGTGTATCTTGTGATGGTGATGATGATGGTGGTCATGATACTGATGCTGATGATGATGCTGATGCTGTTGATGCTGTTGATGGTGATGATGAGGATGAGGATGAGAATGGGGATAGAGGGTGATGATGATGATGACGCTGATGATGATGAGGCTGAAGATGATGGTGATGATGATGATGCTGATGATGATAACGATGACGAGGATGATGATGATGCGGATGATGATGATGATGATGATGATGATGATGATGATGATGATGATGATGATGATATCGATGACGATGCTGATGATGATGATGATTGTGTCGTTGTCGATGACGTTGCTTGTGTTGATGATGGGGGTGGTCCGGCTGATGACGATGCTGCCATTGTTGATCGTGCTGTTGATACTGGTGTTGCTGACAAGGAAGATGCACGGCGGTGGCGTGATAATGGGGGTGATGATGGTAATGATGACGATGATGTTGATCATAGTGAAGACGACGACGATAACGATGATGATATTGGTGATGATGATGTTGATGACGACGATGATGATGATCGTTATGCTGATGTTGATGATTATGATTATGATGATGTCGGTGGTGTTTATCGTGATGGTTACCATGGTGCTGCTGCCGATGCTGATGATGATGACGATGGTTGTGATTCTGACGGTGCTGCTGATGCTGCTGTTGATGATGACGGCGATGCTATCGATGACGATCACGATGACGATGATGATGGCGACGCCGATGATGACGATGCTTCTGATGATGATACTGCTGCTCCTGATAATGATGATCCTGATGCCAATGATGATGTTGATGCGTATGATGAAGCACGAGACGATGAGGATGGCGATGAGGATGATGATGACCATGATGATGATGCTGACGATGTTGATGGTTATGATGAGGATGATATGATGCTTATGATACTGATCATGATAAGCGTGATGATCATGCTGATGCGTATGATGCTGATGATGCTGCTGGTGCCGATGATGATGCTGCTGATGATGATCACGATGATGCTGGTAATGAAGGTGGTGGTGATGATAAATATGATGATGCTGCTGGTGATGATGGTACTGATGTCGACGATGCTGATGATTATGATGATGACGATGCTGATGAGAGCGAGGATGACGATAATCATGATGATGCTGCTGATGCTGATGCTGATGCTGATGCTGATGATCGTGATGCTGATGATCATGATGATGCTAATGATGGTGGGGCTGCGGATGCTGATGACGGTGGTGATGCTGCTGGTGATGAGTATTGTGTTGGTTCTGATGAGTCTGGGATTCATGACGATGAGGATGATGGTGATGCTGGTGCTGATGAACAGTATCATGGTTATGATGCAGATGCAGATGCTGCCGATGATGGTGATGATGAAGCTGATGAGGATGAAGATGGAAATGAGGATTATGTGGATGGTCATGATGCTGCTGATGATGCTGATACTTATGATGACGATGATGATGATGCTGATGATGATCATGCTGATGGTGATACTGCTGATGATTATGTTGATCATGATGCTGGTGACGATGCTGGTGTTAATGGTGTTTGTGTTGATGATGATGCTGATGATGATGCTGATGATACTGGTGATGCTGCTGCTGATGTTGGTGTTCATGATGTTAATGCTGTTGGTGATGATGCTGATGACGATCATGATGATGCTGGTGATGATGATGCTGATGATGATGCGGATGATGCCGACGTTGATCATGATGCTGATGATGATGATGGTGGCGATGTCGACGCTGATGATCAATATGATGACGATGCTCCTGATGGTGATGGGGATGATGGCGATGATACGTCTGATGATGATGTTGATGATGTTGATGGTGATGTTGATGATGATCATGCTGATGCCGCTGATGATGCTGCTGATCACGATGATGATAATGTTGGTGGTGATGCTGATGATGATTATGATGATGTGGTTGATCATGATGATGCTGATGGTGATGATGATGCTGATGGTGAGGATGATCCTGATGCTGGTGATGATGCTGATGACGATCATAATACAGTTGATGAGTATGCTGGTGATGCTGATGCTGATGATGGTGTAGGTGATGATGCTGATACTGATCATGATGATGATGGGGATGCTGATGCCGCTGCTGATGATGATGGTGATCATGGTGATGCTGATGATGATGCTGATGACGATGATGCTGATGATGATGCTGATGATGCTGATGCTGCTGATGCTGATGCTGCTGCTGCTGATGCTGATGCTGCTGCTTATGCTGATGCTGCTGCTGATGCTGATGATGATGACGTCGATGATGATGATGATGATGATGATGATGATGATGATGATGATGATGATGATGATGATGATGATACTGATGATGATGGTGTCATGATAATGATGATGCTGAGGCTGATGATGATGATGCTGCTGATGATGATGCTGCTGCTGCTGATGACGATGCTGCTGATTGTGATGGGGATGATGGCGATGATGCTTCTGATGATGGTGTTGATGATGTTGATGGTGATGTTGATGATGATCGTGATTATGCTGCTGATGATGATGCTGATGACGATGATGATAATGATAATGTTGGTGCTGATGCTGATGATGATTGTGATGATTTGGGTGACCATGATGATACTGATGGTGTTGCTGATGCTGTGGATGATGATGCTGTTGATGATGCTGATGGTGATGATGATCCTGATGCTGGTGATGATGCTGATGACGATCATAATAAAGTTGATGAGTATGCTGATGCTGATGATGCTGATGATGATGTAGGTGATGATGATGATACTGATCATGATGATGATGGGGATGCTGATGCCGCTGCTGATGATGATGGCGATTATGCTGATGCCGATGATGATGATGCTGATGACGATGCTGATGATGATGCTGATGCTGATGCTGCTGATGTTGCTGCTGATGCTGATGCTGCTGATGCTGCTGCTGATGCTGATGATGATGCTGCTGATGATGATGATGATGATGCTGCTGCTGATGCTGCTGATGATGATGATGACGATGATGATGATGATGATGCTCTTTTCATGATGATGCTGAGGCTGATGCTAATGATGCTGATGATGATGATGCTGATGCTGATGCTGATGCTGATGATGAAGATGATGATGATGATGATGATGATGATGATGGTGGTGGTGGTGGTGATGATGATGATGATGATGATGATGCTGATGCTGATGATGATGATGATGATGATGATGATGATGATGATGATGATGATGACCATCCTACCTCGACCTCGACCCTCGTGTGCATAACAGCGTCGCATCCCGTGCAGGTCCTACCACGTACGGCGCGTCCGCATGGACAAGGCAGGGGAGGGGGGAGGGGGCGCCGACGCAAGTGGCGTGCGGCGCGAGAGGGGAGGACGAGGGGGGAGGAGGAGGAGGAGGAGGAGGAGGAGGAGGAGGAGGAGGAGGAGGAGGAGGAGGAGGAATGAGGATGAGGAGGGTTTTGAGGAGGAGGAAGAGGAGGGGAAGGAGGAGCACGGGCAGGAGGGGCAGGAGGGCGACAAATAAGAAGATGATGAGGATGATATTCAAAAGGACGAAGAGGACAAGGAGGGGGACGATGAGGAGGAGGATCGGCAGGACGAGGAGGAGGACATGTAGGATTACGATGAGAAGGAAGATCAGAAGAACGACGTGGAGCACGAGGAGGAGGAGGAAGAGGAAGACGAGCGTAGGAGGAAGAGGAACGAGGATGAGGAGGAGCCCTACGATGCTTTTTGGGTAACCAAACCGATCAGCTCAGTAGGCAGCGGCTTCGCGCCGAGAAAACCCTCGGAGCCTCCACGCTTCGGGCAGTTTTGTCTCCACGAGACGCGGCCCTGCTTTCCTCCGCCCCTCTCCCCCCTCCCTCCCTCCCAAGGAGAGGGGGTGGGGGACTGAGGGGAGGAGGATTGTGGACCGAGGCTTGACGATCGAGGGTGAATCTCGGAGTGTTTCTGCTTGGTGTAGGGGGGGAACTCCAGGGCTGGGGCTTCGAGGGGGCTGCTGGAGGGTCCCCTGGCGGCCTGCAGGGATCTCCCGGGGGTCTCTCCAGAGACTCCATGGAAGGGGAATGGGGACGACGAGAGGAGAAGTAGTGGAGCGAAGGGGGGTTGAAGGGGAAAGGATGCGGGGGGGGGGACGGGAAGGTTTTCAGGGGGAGAAGGTACAGTGCCGTTTTTAATACATGCTCCGCATGCGGAGCATGTATTAAACATGCAGGGATTTAGCATTAACAACAACGATGAGTTCATACGTAAATGTATTCATACATGTACCATGTATTACACATCCAATATTTTTGAAAATCCGATGTATAAAAAACTGCCCTCTAGGGGAGCCGAAAAGATCAGGGAGGGGAGGAGGTAGGGGAGGGCCGAGCTAGACGGAAGGCCAGCGGGAGTCGTGACTGTAATCTGAACGCGTCGGCATCGTCCATGAGATGGGACAGGGTCGTCAGCCTGGCATCGCTCGGACGTGTGCAATTCTCCTTCGGCGAGGAACATCGAGGAGCATCCTTGATCACTTGGCGGAAAAACCACGCACGAAACCGAAAAAAACAGGGAATGGACTTCCGAGCGATGGCCAGGTCAGCCCTGGGGGGCGTTCATCTGCGCCTTTGGCCCGCCCGAAGCTTACCAGGGCAGGGCAGAGAGAGGTCCAGGCCAGCTGCCCGGGGCAGGCGCGCCAAAAGCTTGTTGGCAGCGAGGGGAGCGAGCTTGAAGGACCAGGAGACCTGGAGGGATGACCCCCGAGTTAGAAAGGGAGGGCCCCTCCGTTTTCTTCCCAGGGGAGGGCGACGGCGCTCCCAACGGCAAGCTATGTTTCATTCTTAGACCCTCGGCTTGCGACCCCCAGCCAGCGTTTCAGATGCTCCTGCTCTCTTTGATTCGCGTGACATCGATAGACACGGCTCTGGTGGTGATCTTGGGCAGCTCAGACATTCACTCTCCTTGGATCCCAAGGTTTTTATCTAGACAAGATCTTGGACTCACGCTGGCGCGGAGGGCGAAGATGAGCGCCTGCGCGGGGCCCTCGGTCGGCATGCGCACGGCATGGCCGTGCCGTGTCGACGCCCAGCGGCGGCCGCAGCGCGGGCGCTCCGGGCTGAACGCCGCCAGGGGCCCAGAGCCGGCCGGCGTCGGACACGCCGCGCTGTGGGAGAGCCGCAGGCGCTGCAAGTCGAACGACCCACGCGGCGTCGGAGGCCAGCGCCCAGGCAGGGCGTCACGACACGAGCTTGCCCTGGCGGTGCCATCCCTCAGCACTCACAGGCGTGCAGTAGGCATCTGCGTTTATGTCGGGCCTGTCCCCTTACAGGGGGATTTTTGACGAAGAATAGAAAACATCAAAAAGTGCAAAACAAAAAAAAACAGTCAAAAAATAGTCCCCAGACTATTGTTTGTATTATTTTCTGGTTATGTTGGGGGTATTTTACATTTTTCGTCGAAAATCCCCTGGTAGGGGGACAGGCCCGACTTAAATCTACGTTCGTGTGGTGTTTTGGTTATTGCGCGCCCATGTGTTCTTCTATCACTCCACGGTTCACTGCAAGAGTGTGTTCGTTGCAGGTCGGCGCGTGTGGTGTTTCCTGTTTGCCTGGCGACCTTTAGATTCGCATTGTGAAGTCAACCCCGGCGAGTCGGAGGAACAAGCACGCCTATCCAGAAAAAGAGCATATGATCATACAGTTTGCTATGCGAAGAAGTCATGGGGCACACCGTTCAAGATCTTCGAGGGTCCCGAGGTACCCCAGAGCTTCTGTGCGTCCCTGGGGCGATCGGTCGACGCAGCACAAACTGCAGGAGTATATAATTTCGGAGGTCCTCGCAGATCTCTTGAATCTGAGGTGGGTCTCCCAGGCGGCGCCTCCGACGCCGACCCTGGCGCGCTCCGCGCGTCAGGGAGGGGGGCCCAGCGCCGATCCGAGACATCCACGCGGACCTCTGAAAGTGTACGGCAAAGTAGCTCCCTTCCGTCTCTCGCCGGGGGTAAGACATTTCCACGGGGCACCTGCCTGCAGGCCAGATTCTCATTGAATGTGCCTGCTGCAGACGGCGCCCCCCCGACCCGTCCCTGGACTCTGTGACCGCGCGTCGGCCGCCCAGGTGCTGGGCTGCCGTGGCCTCAAACCCGAAAAGGGGAAGGAAAAGTCTCTGTCGTCGTCGTCGTCGTCGTCGTCGTCGTCGTCGTCGTGCACCTCCTCCTCGTGCGCCTCCTCTTTCTCATCTCTCTTCCTCCCTCCCCCGTCTGCCCTCGTTGTCGCCGTCCGCGTCGATGTCGCCTTCGCCGCCGGCGTCGACATCATCATCTTTCTCACTCCCTCATTTGCCCTTTTTCTTAAGCTCCTCATCCTCTTTTTCGCCACCCTCCTCTTCGTTTCCTTATTGGTTTCGTTATCTTCTGATCCTCGTGTTCTGTTATTATTCTTGCCTTTCCCCTCACTTCCTCCTGATCTTGCCCCCTCATCCTACTCTTCGTCGTTTTCACAGGTTGTTGCTGGAGCCTGGAATGGTGCCATCTCGCCATGGGAATCCTCCAGTCAGGGGCCAGCAGACCTGAGCCATAATCGGGCCTGCACGGAAGTCTCTACTCGGGAGGGTAGCATTCATAAGCGAATCGATAAGCACGCTTACGATGCCACCCGACCTTCTTCGGACAGTTGTGCACCAGCGTTGTCCAGGACAAATAGTTCAAACATGTTCTTTGTCCTCCTACTCTGCTCCCCATCCTCGTCCCCTCGTTTGCCTGCTCATCAGCCTCTGTTTTCCCTGCTCGTCCCTCCTCATGCCTCGTCCCTTCTCCTTCCCCCTCGTCCCTCATCTCCACTCCTCCCTCCATTCTACAGAGCCAGAGGCGTTCCAAAGCCTCGATCATCGATTGAGCTTCGACGACGAGCCCCGACGACGACGACGACAAGCGTCGACGACGACGACGAGGACGAGGAGGCCGACCCCGACGCCGATGCCGCCGCTGCCCACGCCGACGCCGACAGCGCGCGACTGCGGACCTCGGCGGGGGCTGTGCAGGCCGCGGCCATGATCCAGAAGGTCGTGCGCGGCGTGCGCGCCCGGCTGAGGCTGCGGAACGGCAAGCCCATGGCTCGGCGGCGGCCGCTGCCGCGCTGGCCCCACGAGCGGCGAACGTATCCATTTCCATGCCCTCGTGGTCTGGATTCTGGGGCACGATCCCGCGGGTGCGCAGTCGCACGGATGCTTTGCGCGCGGGGCATCCGCGACGAAACGCTCCGTTTCCGCGGGGTGGCGGGCCCGGCCTGGCCCGCGAGGCCGCGGATACGGATACTTCTTTTCGCTCACGATTGCCGCCGTTGCCGCCGCCGCGGCACCGAGGGCGGCGGGGGCGACCAGCGTTTCTCTTTCATTGTGGGCCTTCTGGAGGCTTCTCGTTGCCACGGCTGGACCCGCCTCGAAAAGTGGGTCAGGAGGGGCCCCGGGAAGGGTCCGGGGATTGATTTTGAAGGGATCTGGGCCGGCGTAACCGGCGGCGGCGGCGGCGGCGGTGACGCCGGCGGCGACGAGGACGCAGACCTATTGCGAGGGGGGCGAGGGCCATGGGTTTGGGCGGTGGGAAGAGGTGAGTCAGGAGGGGAAAAAACACACAGACACAATTAATCGTCGATCCCCCAGAAAATATGGGAAACTATGGGAAAAGTGGGGAAGACAATAACCCAGAAAATATAGGAAAATATGGGGAATCTTTTTATTACCTAACAGCGAAGACTGATAGGTTTCTAGTTGACTCAAAAGAGCTCACAGATCACTCCACAGGGGGGTCCGGGCAGGTGTTGGGAGTTGCCGGGCGGCAGGTGCCGGGCTCGTTTTTCGCCAACAGTCACACACTTCGTGCTCTTCGATTTCCCAGAACTCCATTCCCAGGCCACATTCTGGAGGGCCGAATGCAACAGTCACACACTTCGTGCTCTTCGAGTTCCCAGAACTCCATTCCCGGGCCACATTCTGGAGGGCCGGATGCAACAGTCACACACTTCGTGCTCTTCGAGTTCCCAGAACTCCATTCCCGGGCCACATTCTGGAGGGCCGGATGCAACAGTCACACACTTCGTGCTCTTCGAGTTCCCAGAATTCCATTCCCGGGCCACATTTTGGATGCCCGGAGCCAACTGTAGGCCACTTCGTGCTCTTCGAGTTCCCAGAACTCCATTCCCGGGCCACATTTTGAATGCCCGGAGCCAACAGTAGGCCACTTCGTGCTCTTCGAGTGCCCAGAACTCCATTCCTGGGCCACATTTTGAATGCCCGGAGCCAACTGTAGGCCACTTCGTGCTCTTCGAGTTCCCAGAACTCCATTCCCGGGCCGCATTTTGATGCTGATGCAGAGGCTGAGAATGGTGATGCTGATGCTGAGGCTGAGGCTGAGGCAGGCAGGCTGAGGCTGATGAGGCTGAGGCAGGCTGAGGCTGAGGCTGAGGCTGAAGGCAGGCTGAGGCAGACGCTGAGGCAGGCTGAGGCTGAGCAGGCTGAGGCTGAGGCTGAGGCTGAGGCAGGCTGATGCTGAGGCAGGCTGAGGCTGAGGCTGAGGCTGAAGGCAGACTGAGGCTGAGGCAGGCTGAGGCAGACGCTGAGGCAGGCTGATGCTGAGGCAGGCTGAGGCTGAGGCTGAGGCTGAGGCTGAGGCGAGATGCAGGCTGATGCTGAGGCAGGCTGAGGCACAGAGGCTGAGGCTGAAGGCAGACTGAGGCTGAGGCTGAAGCAGGCTGAGGCTGAGGCTGAGGCAGGCTGAGGCTGAGGCTGAGGCAGGCTGATACTGAGGCAGGCTGAGGCTGTGACTGCGACTGCCGCTGCCCCTGCGACTGTCATCGCGAATGCGACTGCGACTGCGAGAACAGCAGAACTCTACAACTGGATTCTCATCTGAATCTTAAGGGGAATGCTTCCATATATGCTTCTACACATCGCTGTTAGGTTGCTTTGCCGGGATAATTAGTGTGTATTTATTGCGAAGGCCTTACGGCCGTTGCCGCCGACCCTGAAGATGACGAAAGACAACACGAGGGGGGGGGCAGGAGGAGGAGGAGGAGGAGGAGGAGGAGGAGGAGGAGGAGGCGGAAGGGAGTAGGAGGAGGAAGGGTGAAAGGGGGAGGAGGAGGAGGCCTTATGGATGTTGGTTGGGATCTCGTTGTTGACCTCTCGGGGGCGTCTGGAAGGCAACTTGAAGCCTCTTGGGGGCCGTTGTGGGGCCTCTTGGGGCCTCTTTTGGGCCTCTTGGGGCTTCCGGAGGCCGTCTTCGGCGCATCTTGGGGGCGTCTTGGCGCCGCTCGGGGGCCTCTTGGGGCCTTTTGGGGGCCTCTTGGGGCTTCCCGGGGGCCTCTTAGGGCGGAAGTCTCGAATTCTCGGTTCCTCGTCCCCCTCTTGGCCGTTTCTTGGGCCCGTCTTGGGGCCCTATTGGGCCGTCTTGGGCGCCTCTTAGGCTGTCCTGGGGCCTTCTTGGGCCGTCTTGGGGCCCTCTTGTAGGCCTCTTGGGGCGCTCTTGGGGGCCTCTTGGGGGCCTCTTGGGCCGTCTTGGAGTGTCGGAAAGCCGAAAAGGCGAGAAGGCCAAAATCATTCAAAAACCGATGTAAAATTGACGATTTTGGCGCCTGGGGCCCTCTTGGGTGTGCTCTTGGGGCTCTCTTGGAGCGTCTTGAGGGCCTCTTGGGCCGTCTTCGGGCCGTCTTGGGCGTCTTGGGGCCATCGTTCGTCGAGTCGAGGCCCTCTTGTACCCTTTTGGGGGTGTCTTCTGTCGCTCTTGGCTCGTCTTGAAGCTTTTCTGAGCTCCGGGACCCCCCGGGGAGGATGCGTATCTGGGTGGCGACCCCCCCCGGCGGACCCCCCCCGGCGACCCCCCCCCCCCACCCCCCGGCGGGGAGGGTAGGGAGGGGCTTCGCCACGACTCAACTACGACGTTGCTCAATGTCGCTTTGGCTCGCGCGCTCAAGGAGACGGGGAACGACGAAGACGACGAGGGACAACGGAGACGGAGACGACGAGGACACGACGGAGACGACGACGACGACGACGACGACGACGACGACGGTGATCCACGCAAGACGACGACACCGGGATGCGTCTTCCACACGCCGACAGGGTCTATGGGGAATCTTTTTATTAGTGTGTATTTATTTAATCGCTTCGCTCATTCCGCCGGCCCGCCCGTATTGTGCCATCGCAGGCGTTTGCTTGCGCGTTCGTGGCCTCTTGGAGCCTCGGTGGGGCCGTTTGGGGCCTCTTGGCGCCTCTTTTTAGGCCTCTTGGAGAACTCGGGAGGCCTCCAGGGGGCCTCCTGAGCTCTCGTGACGGTCTCTTGGGGGGCTTTCGGCGGGCTCTTGGCGGTATTTGTTGGTCCTCTTGGGGCCTGGGGCCTGACGTTGTTGGTCCTCTTGGGGCCTCACGGGAGCTTATTGGGGCGTCTTGGGGGTGTCTTGGAGAGTCTCTTGGGGCCTCTTTCGGGGTCCTGGGCGCCTTCTGGGGCGGAGGGCTCGATTTTTCAGTTCTCGGTTCCCTTCTTGAGCCCCTCTTGGGCCCGTCTTGGGGCCTCTTGGTCCGCCTTGGGCAGCACTTGGGCCGTCTGGGGGGCGCTCTTGGGCCGCTCCGGGGCCGTCTTGGGAGCCTCGTGGGCCGTCTTGGAGCAGTCTTGAAGGCCTCTTGGGCCCTCTTGGAGCGTCCGGAAGCGAAAAGGCCAGAACGCAAAAAAACATCGAAAAAAAATAATGACAATCAACGATTTTGGCAACTTGGGGCCCTCTTCGGAGGCCTCTTGGAAGGCCCTTGGAGCGTCTTGGAGGCCTCTTGGGCTGTCTTGGGCCTCTCTTGGACCGTCTAGAAAGATTCTCGGGGCCCTCTTGGACCGATCTGGAGCCCTCTTGGACTCCGAAACAGAACTCCGGCATCTCTGACCCGACCTTGCCGGGACCTTGCCGGGGTACTTTTCGCCCGGGGACCCCCAGGGGCCGCCCCGCGCGCGCGAACTAGAAATACTGTTAACCAGGTACCGGAGATCTTAGCACGCCCTGGCCCGTTGGGCTGGGGAATCTTTTTATTAGTGTGTATTTATTTGTGTGTCCCAGGGCCCCTTCAGTGAGGGATGGGGGGCGGGAATGCCTCCAGGATAAGGGGGAGAGAAGGGGCGGAGCAGGAGAAAGAGGAAGGGGGAGGGAGGGGGGAGGGGGGAGTGAGTAGAGACGAGAGAGGAGGGAGGCAAGGTACAGTGCCGTTTTCTTAATACATGCTCCGCGTGCGGATCATGTATTGAAAATGCGGGGATTCAGTAGTAAAAACAACGATGAGTTCACGCATACATTTACTCATTAATTACTCATGTATTAAAATCATATGAAGACCTATGTATTAAAACCTGCCCTGTAGGTTCGTTCGCGCCATATCTGACAGCCTGCGCCTCCCGCCCATCCTGTTCCCAGTTGCGCTGATTGTCTTTCTGTCCGGCGCCTGGGGTGTCCTAGAGGAGCTACACGCCCACATGGCAGTTGCAGAAATTTATCCATTGTTTGTCGCGCAATCGGGATATTCGCTGTTGTACCGCGAAAAAGGAGGGGGAGGTAGACGAGGAGAAGAGAGAAGGAGCAGCAGGAGATGGGTGAGCAGCAGGCGGAGGAGAGGAATACCTGGAATGAGGATGATCTGGAAGGTGAGCAGAGGCAGGCGGAGTAGCTGCAGAATCAGGGGCAACGACAGCGTGGGGGTCAGGGACAGGAGGGGACGCATCGACCCCCAATCGCCCATGGATCGCTGATAAGGGCCCGATAGCCCCAACCTGCCCAGAAGCGTGCGGATTCACAATCGGGACCTATCGCTGATCTATCGGCGATATATCGCCGATTCCTAGTCGATGTGCCCCCCCTGTGCCACCCTATCGTTGCACCTCACAGAGGGAGGATCAGGAGAAGGCGTAGGAGGGAAAAGGTGGGGGGCAGCAGCGACGTGGAATGAATCAGATCCGCAAGTGTGGCCCGCGCTGCCTGGACGACGGCAGCGAGGCACTGACGCGGAGGTGCGGCCAACGCCGAGGGCGATCGCAAGTCTGGGAAACGCTCGTCGAGCGGGGCAATCCACATTCAGCACCTCGACTCTCCGGAACTCTCAGGAGGGAAGCTTAGGCACAGGCGCAAACTGCCGTCGATGCCCAGGGACATATGGGAAGTGGAGGGGAGACGAAGCTCCAGAAAGCAATGGAACAGATTGGGAGCTCCCCTGGGATCTGTCTCCTTTCCTTTGTGCCTCATGACGTTCGTTAGGAACGCCAGAAGGGCCACGCGTGGGGGAGGAGAGCGGCGCCCCGCTCGGGAGGAATTGCCGGGGGAGAGGGGAGCAGCACTCCTAGCGAGCTGAGTGCGCGCGCCCGGGCTGGCATCCTCCCCCTCCCCTTCCAAGACGAGGCCAGGACGAGGACAACACCGGGTGACGATGAATCGGCGACAATCTTTGAGATCTGGCGGCTCTGGAGGGTCTCGTGGCCTTCTCAGAACCTTCTGGAACGCTCTCAGAGCGTCCAGAACGCGCTGGAACGGATTTATCCTCGTCCAAGCCCCGTCCTACCTTCCCGCGTCCCGTAGCGTTGATTTTTGTTCCAGTGCAGACGACAGGGGATGGCAAATTATTAAATCCTCTGTGAGAAACAATTGCAATGCGCGGCATGTCTGGGAACACACGCGCACTCATATCAGATGGTTCATTTGTACACGCAGAGAACATCAGAAAGAGGGAGAGAGAAAGAGAGGAAGAGAGAAAAAGATACATATATATATATAGAGAGAGAGAAAGAGAGAGAGCGAGAAACAGAGCGAGAAAGAGAGAGAAAGAGAGAGAGAGAGAGAGTGAGAGAGACTGTGAGGAGGAGGGAGAGGGGGAGGAGGGAGAGACAAGGGAGGAGGGAGGAGGAGGCGGAGGGAGGGGCGAGGAAGGTGGGAGGAGGGAGCAGTTGGATGAGGAGCAGGAGCAGGAACAATGGGGAAGGAGCTATGGGGAAAGATGAAGGAGGGGGAGGAGGGGGAGGAGGAGGAGGAGGAGGAGGAGGAGGGAGGAGGAGGAGGAGGAGAAGGAGGAGGAGGCGGTGGAGAAGGAGGGTGTTGGAGGAGAACCAGAACGCCCGCGAACTCGAGAAGTATTGGGCAACAGAGGAGGAGGAAGAGGAGGAGGAGGAGGGGGAGGAGGAAGACAAGGAGAAGGAGACGGGCGAAGGGGGGGGAGCAGCAGGAGGGGGGGGGGCAGGACGAGGCGCAGCGGGAGGAAAGGAGGCGGAGGAGGCTCATCGGCGAAGTGACTGCGCGAGCTCCGCTCGCCGGTCACGCATGCGCGCACAGCCCGCCTCTGCCTCTGCAGATCAAGACACTGCGCGAGCCCAGCGAGGCCTTTCCCCCGACCTGTCAGCGGCAACACAGACAAACAAAGTGCTTGTGTGTGCATGTGTGTGCGTGTCAGTGTCAGTGTCAGTGTGTGTGTGTGTCAGTCAGTATGTGTGTGTGTGCGTATGTGTGTGTGTGCGTGTGTGTGTGTCAGTGTCAGTGTGTGTCAGTGTGTGTGTGTGTGTGTGTCAGTGTCAGTGTGTGTCAGAGTGTGTCAGAGTGTGTGGGTGTGGGTGTGGGTGTGGGTGTGGGTGTGGGTGTGGGTGTGGGTGTGGGTGTGGGTGTGGGTGTGGGTGTGGGTGTGGGTGTGGTGTGTGTGTGTGTGTGTGTGTGTCCGTGTCGGCCCCGCGGGGGCGACATGCGCTCAGAAATCGTATAGCACATGCCCAGCGGTGGGCGCGTCCTGGCCATGCCGGCCGATACCGCCGATGTGCGGCGGGCGTTTTCTGATGCAGCAGAAGATGTGCATACGATACGTCCGGGTGGGACGTTCGCCTCCAAGATGGGCGCACATCGGGCGGGGCTGGGACAAGGATGCATCCCGTCCAGAGCGTTCCGAGACGCTCTCAGAGCGTTCCAGAACGCTCTGAGAAGGCCGCGGCGCCCGATGCATCCTGCAGAGCCGCCGGATCTCAGAGATTCTCAACTCATCCTCATCCGAATTTGTCTTCGTCCGGGCTTCGCCTTGGCATCGTATTATTTTGTCAGCACGTCCTTCTGCGTCCCAGCAGCCCGACTCCCGGGTGCGGATGCTACGGGGCGTGTGCCGAGGTCGGCGGTGGCCATCCAGCGCATCGCCAAGGTGCCACCCTCGACGTCGTCGCGTCCGTCTTCGTCGGCATTGTCGTCGTCGTCGTCGTCGTCGTCGTCGGCCTCGTCGTTGTCCTCGTCGGCCTCGTCGGCCTCGTCCTCGTCGCCGTTCTCGACGTCGCGGCCGCCGGTCGCCGCCGTCGCCCTCGCCGTCGTCACCGTCGCCGTCGTCCTCGTCGTCGTTGACTCGTGATCGCGCTGGCCATTCAGCGCATCGCCGTCGTCCTCGCCGGCGGCAGCGACTAGGGGAACGAAAAATGACATAAACATAAAAACTCGGAGGTCCGCGCGGATTTCTCGGATCGGCGCTGGACCTCCCTCCCTGGCGCGCGGAGCGCGCCAGGGGCGGCGCCGGAGGCGCCGCCGGGGGGCCCCAGCGCGGATCCGAGAAATCCGCGCGGACCTCCGAGTTTTTATGTTGATGCCACCTTTTGGTTCCCCTAAGCGACGGTTAGCGACGCCGACGGTATACCGACGGCGGCCTGCGGCGGCCGGCGGCGAGAGGCGGCAGCCCGTCCCAGGGCACACTCCAGCGCTCTCGGCGTCGTTCTCGTCGGCCTCGTCCTCGTCGACGTGGTCGGCCGCGTCGGCCTCGACGGTCGCCGTCGTCGTCGCCAGTGTGGCCGTCTTTGCCGTCGCCGTCTTCGCCGTCGCCCTGCCCTTTTCGGTCGGCTTTGGTATTCGATCATGGGCCCCTTCTTAACTCACCACCCACCAAACCACCCCAACCCAACCCGAAGGCCCAAATTTATCCTCGATTTCCAGTGGGGGGGGGTCGGGGAACACTGAACAAAACACATGGAACCCGTACCCCCCCCAACCCGAAATTCGATTCAAATTCGGGTCTTCGGGTTGGGTTGGGGTGGTCTGGTAGGTAGTCATTAACTGCAGCCGTCCAGCGTTTGCGCCAAAGGCCGTAGGCAACCGACGAAGACCGCCGAAGACCGTCAGGCAACCGCCGACGACCGCCAGGAGCTTGTTGTTGTTTGAAGGTCTGGGCGAGAACGGCCGTGATCGGCCCTCTCCCTCTACACTTGTTGCAAAGGTGTCCTAAGGGTGTTTCGAGGACTTTGTCTCGATCCCCCAGATGCACCCTTCGATCCCTGGGGGGAGGAGCGGGGGGGAGAGAGAAATGGAGACGAGGGAGGAGCGAGGAGGAGAAGGGATGATCAAAGGAGGAGGAGGAGGAGGAGGAGGAGGAGGAGGAGATTCATGGTGATTGTGCGTGTTTTTGCACGTTTGTCGTCGGCGGTTTGTGGGCATTCGTGGGAGCGCGCGGAACGCGCCTGGGATAGGGGGTCCAGCGCAGATCCAAGAGATTATGATGGGCCTGTTTCCCACCACAACCACCATAAGTTGGAGGGGGAAGGAGGTGGAGGACGAGGAGGAGGAGGAGAACGAAGTTGAGGAGGAGGAGGAGGATGAGGTGGAGGAGGAGGACGAGGACCTCCTCCCCTCTCCGACTTAAAGTGGTTGTGGAACACAGGCCCATCGTATTAGGTTTCTCTACAGACGCTCCAGCATCCCACAGGCATGGCAGCTCGGGCGTCTACTCACCAAGCTCCTTCGCTGGCCACACGACGACAGAGGGGAAGAAGCGAAGGACAATGACCAAGACCGAACACCGGAACATCGCTGTCGTCCTTGGTCACCATCCATTGCGGTCGCCGTCGATTCGCGAATCATCTTCGCGAGTCGACGGCGGCCGGCATGGACCATGACCAATGTCGGCGTCGCCAAGATCTCACGACATATTGGTAATGGCCATCGCGCCTCTTCCCCAGAGACGTGATGTACGCATCGAACCCATCCCAGGCCAGCGGCGGCCCCGCCGAGGGCAGGCTCCGGCGCCAGAAGATCACCCACGCCGCCGACGGCAGCAACGGCGACGCCGGCGGCGACCAGGGGCGGCCCCGGACATCCGCCGATGCTTTTAGGGGAACCAAAAGTTACATAAATATATACAACTCGGAGGTCCGCGCGGATTTCTCGGATCGGCGCTGGGGCCCCCTGGCGGCGCCTCCGGCGCCGCCCCTGGCGCGCTCCGCGCGCCAGGGAGGGGCGTCCAGCGCCGATCCGAGAAATCCGCGCGGACCTCCGAGTTTTTATGTTTATGGCACTTTCTGTTCCCCTAGCTCTTCTTCAATCCGCAGCCCCAGAGGTCCCGACTGCCTTCCCAAAGTGGCAGTTTTTCGCGTCGGGTCCAGCTCGTGTGGCCCGCGGGCCCGACCACGGGACCCAGAGGCCGAAGGCGAGGGAAGACCGCGGGTGAAATGTTCGGAGAGCTTCGAGGAGCAGGCAGTGACATCACCACCCACCAAACCACCCCAACCCAACCCGAAGGCTCAGATTTACCCTCGATTTCCAGTGGGGGGGGGGGTCGGGAAACATGGAAAAAATACATGTGGAACCCTTAACCCCCCCAACCCGAAATTCGGGTCTTCGGGTTGGGTTGGGGTGGTCTGGTAGGTAGTCATGACATGAGCATGCAATTTCGGATGTCCGCGGGGAGATCTTGGGTCGGGGCTGGACACGGCGCCGGAGGCGCCGCCAGGGGGTTCAGCGCCGATCAAAGGACTCCGCACGGACGTCCGAAAGCTTACGTCAGGTTTTGCCATGTTTTGTTCCTCGAGAGTTGGGGCGGCCTCGTCGCCGTCCTCGCCGTCGCCGCCGCCGGTCGCCGCCGTCGCTGTCGTCCTCCCCGTCATCGTTGACTCGTGCTCGCGCTGGCCATCCAGCGCATCGCCGTCGTGCTCGCTGGCGGCGGGCGACGGCAGGCGACGCAGACGGCGACGGCGGTCGGCGGCGGCCCGGCCGAGGGCATGATCCAACGCCGGAAGATCGCCAAGTGGCAGTCCGCGGGCCTGCTGCTGACCAGCATGGCGCGCGGAGGCGCGCCCCGCACGCCTGCGTATACCTGTCTCCGCGTGCGCGCCCAGCATGCGGCGTTGGGGGGTGGGTGCTTGCGGCGCGCCTGCTCGAGGAAGCGAGGAGGAGGAGGAGGAGGAGGAGGAGGAGGAGGAGGAGGAGAAGGAGGAAGAGGAGAAAGAGGAGGAGGAGGAGGGGGAAGATGAGGGGAGAGGAGGAGGAGGAGGGAGGAGGAGGAGGAGGAGGAGGAGGAGGAGGAGGAGGAGGAGGAGGAGGAGAAGGGGGAGAAGGAGAATGCGTAGAAGGACGAGAAGCGGGAGGACGAGGAGGAGGAGGAGGAGGAGGAAAAGGAGAGGAGGATGAGGAGGAAGAGGGGCAGGAGGAAGTTGTCGAGGGGAAGTGGAAGGAGGCGGACGAGGAGGAGTAGGATGAAGAGGAGTAAGAGGAGGTGCCGATCTTGATTATGATGCTGATCATGAGGCGCATGATGATGATGATGATGATGATGATGATGCTGATGATGATGATGATGATGATGATGATGATGATGATGATGATGATGATGATGATGATGAGCAGGAACACGATCATAAGGAGGGGAAGGTATGATTGTGATGCTGCTGATGATGGTAATGACGATGATTACAATTATGATGATGACGATGGTGTTTTTGTTAGTCACGGTGGTGGTGATGACGAGGACGACGATAATGTCTGTGATGATGATGTTGATGATGATGATGATGATGATGATGATGATGATTATGGTGATTGTGATAGTGGTGGTGGTGATAGTGATGGTGATGATGATGGTGATAATGGTGGTGGTGATGGTGCGCACGTTGAGTGTAGTGGTGCTGCTGCTGATTGTGATGCTGACGATGCTGATACTGAGGCTGATCATGATGGTGATGATGCCGGTGGCAATGATCACGACGATATTGATGATGGTGATTTTGATGTTGACGATGTTGATGATGACATTGATGATAATGATGCGAATGCTGATGACAATGATGGTGATGATGATAGTGGTGGTTTTGGTGATGATGATGATGATGATGATCATGTTGCTGATGATACTGATGATGACGATGGTGTTTGTGTTAGTTACTGTGGTGGTGATGACGAGGACGACGATGGTTGTGATAGTGATGGTGATGGTGATGGTGATAGTGGTGATGGTGATGGTGCTTTCGTTGAGTATAGTGGCGCTGCTGCTGATTGTGATGCTGACGATGCTGATAATGAGGGTGATGATGATGTTGATGATGCCAAAGGCAATTATCACGACGATATTGATGATGGTGATGCTGATGATGTTGATGATGATGATGATGATGATGATGAGACTGATGATGATGATACGAATGCTGATGGTGACAACAATGATGATGGTGATGATGTTCGTGGTGGTGATGATGACGATCATGCTGATGATGATGATGATGATGATGATGATGATGATGATGATCATGATGATGATGATGATGATGATGAGGAGGATGAGGATGAGGATGAGGATGAGGATGATGATGCTAATGATGATGATGGTGATGGTGACGGTGATGGTGGTGGTGGTCGTGGTGATGAATATGATAATGGTAGTGTGGTGGTGCTTATGCTGATGATGATGGTGATTTTGACCATGACGGGGGTTGTGATGGTGATGGTGATGCTGCCGCTGATGATGTTCTGATGATAGTTCGGAGGAGGAGGTGGAGGAGGAGGATTAGAAACAGGAGGGGGAGGATGATGACGAAGATGAGGGTGATAATCATGTTGATGATACTGATACTGATGTTGATGCTGATGACGACGGCTATGATGATATTGTTGATGATGATGGTGGTGATGGTGTTGACGACGACGACGATGATGATGATGAGGATACTGATGATGGTGATACTGATACTGGCGATGATGCTGATGATGCTGATGCTGATGACGATGATGATGATGATGATGATGATGATGATGATGATGATGATGATGATGATGATGCTGGTGATGCTGATGCTGATGCTGATGCTGATGGTGGTGGTGGTGGCGCTGCTGCTGATGCTGATGATGATGCTCATGAGGAGGGGGCTACGAGGGGGGAAGGCGGAATGGGGGCTGCGAGGGTGGGTGGATGGATCGGGACGGGGGGAAGGATGGAGGAGGAGGAGGAGGAGGAGGAGGAGGAGGAGGAGGAGGAGGAGGAGGAGGAGGAGGACAACGAGTTTGCGTACAGGACTGGATTAGGAGGGGAGCCCGACGCCGACGTGTACCCTGGCCCTTTCGCTAGCACCCAGTCAGTGCGTGCTCGTTTCGTTGGAGACATCTGTCAGGTACAGAGGGCTTGCTAGCCTTCTGCTAGCTGTAGGTCGGTACGTGATTCTCGTCCTCGGGGGGAGGGGCAGGCGGAAGGGGAGTGGGGCCATCTTCATCCGTGTTGGTGCCGTCCAGACCCGTATCGGAGCCTTCTGGAGCGGACTGAAAACCATTTGGTGATGTTTCTGGTGCCGATGAGTCCGCTGGGGCCAGCCCGTGAACCTCCCCCTCTCCAAGCAGGTCGGACCGGGCTTCCTCTGGATTGGGGGAACAACCAATCTTGCGTACGAAGGCGAGTACTCAGCGCATTGAACTCGAAGGGACCCGAGGACACTCCACTCAGTGTCTACGGCACGGTGGCGGATACAGACACTTCTGGAGCTCCAGATCGCTTTTCCGAATGCTCGCCGCCCTTTGGCTCCCGGATGCAGCCGTCTGCTCGCGGCTTTGATTCTTGGTCCTCTGCCGGCAAGGCGCCCTCGGCTCCAGGCGGGTCGGCGCCAGCTGACCACCTCGCCAGTCTTAAGTCGGGCCTGTCCCCCTACAGGGGGATCTTCAAAGAAAAATATAAAGTACCCCAAAAATACTTCAAGAATACTCTGGGGACCATCTTTCGAATATTTTTTGACCATTTTGGGGTATTGTTTTTTTTATGTTTCGTCGAAAATCCCCCTATAGGGGGACACGCCCGACATAACGCCAGTCCCGGCTTCGGCCGACCCGGAGCCCAGGCCCGGCAGGAGGGGCGCCCACGCCTCCCCGGCCAGGCCATGGGGGCGGCTGCGGCAGGTTCGCGCCGCGTCGAGCGGCGGCGACCCCGCCGCCGGTCCGGACGCCCGAAACGGGTACGGAAAGGATGGGTACTCCAGATTTCGTACTAAAGGGGCGGCGAGAGGCGGCTCCCCGTCCCAGGGCACAATCCAGCGCTCTCGGCGTCGTCCTCGTCGGCCTCGTCCTCGTCGACGTGGTCGGCCGCGTCGGCCTCGACGGTCGCCGTCGTCGTCGCCAGTGTTGCCGTCTTTGCCGTCGCCGTCTTCGCCGTCGCCCTGTTCTTTTCGGTCGACTTTGGTACTCCAGATTTTGTAATAAAGGGAGGGGGGTCTCATTTCGGGGGGGGGGTCTCTTCCAGGCTATCTCGGAGGGCCTGGGGGGGTCTGGGGACGATGTTTTGGAGGGTTCTCCCACGGGGGGGGGGTCTGACATGGCTTGTCTTGGAGGGTCCAGACCCCCTTCCTTTTATCACGAAATCTGGGGTACAATGCCCAGCAGCAGTTCCTGTTCATTTTGAACAGGACTCGCTGTCCGCGCCGCCGCGGCCTGTGTCCACTTGAGACAGAAGGCCGCCTGCCCAACAGCGGCCGCCGTTGGTTTGGGACAACATTTGTTGTTGGGCATTGTACCCGTTCTTTCGGTACCTATTTCGGGTGTCCAAAGCCGGCGTTCCACGTTGAACGCCGCCGGCGACCGAGAATCGGTCGATGTTGCTTGAGCCGACGTTTCGGAAACGGCCGATCGTTCAAGGTTGAACGATCTTCGCGACGTCAGGAGTCAGCGCCTTGCTCGACACGACGCGAACCTGCCGTACAACGATCCTATGCTTTGGAAGGAACAGGCCTGGCCAGGATCGGCGAGGTGGACAGCTGACGTCCCCCGCCCAGACTCAGACCCTAATTAGGCCTCTGATGTAGTTATGGTTTCTGTTGTTTCGCTGCGGAGTCCCTGGATGCCCCGACCCTTTCCACAGCTTCATGCTGCGTCGTTTTTTCGAATGTCCCCGGACCCCGCGAGGGTCACCACAGGCCGAACAATGGGGACATAAATCGTTTTGTTTTTTCGACACGTTGGAGATCTGGGTCCTCGCCTGGTGGTTTTCGGCTCAGTGCTCGGGTCTCCTGCGGCCGATCGGGACGATCCAGACACCCCCAGAACGCAGACACCCCCAGAACGCCCTCGGCGAGACGATGTCCCGAGCGATTGGAACCTCGAGTCGAAGATGGCCAGGCGTCGAGGAACAAACAATTAACCTCAGGACGTCCTAGGTTTTGATTCCCACCCCACTTTTTCTCTCGGTGAGTAACAAACTTGTCCCTCCTGCTCCTCCTCTTCCTCCTCCTCCTCCCCCTCCTCTTCCTCCTCCTCCTCCTCCTCATCGTGGCCGTAATATCATCGTGGTCGTAGTCGGTGTCGTAGTCGTAGTCGTGGTCGTTGTTGTGCGGCGGGTGCCGCGGAGAAATACTTGTTCCACTATTGGTGGGACCCCAGTCCGTCAATAATGTCGCCAAGAAGATTTTCAGTTTCCAAGTATTGTTGGGGATCTAAAGACCTATCGAGGTTATATAAACATAATCTTCCAAGTCCAGGCAACGCCATTGGCGGCGGCGATCGAGCGGGGCTGGGACAAAGATAAAGCCGTTCCAGAGTGTTCTGGAACGCTCTCAGAGCGTTCCACGATGCTCTGAGAAGGCCGCGATCCCAGAGATTCCCGATTCTGAAGACCTTACGGCTGGTGCTGCCGACCCGGTAACTACGACGTTTCTGCTTTTGTTGGTTCCTCAATGTTGCTAGGTTTGGAGACGACGAAGACGGCGTTCACGACGACGACGACGACGACGGAGACGACGACAGCATCTCACACACGCCGAAGGATCCGGGGATTTATCACTGTCCGATGTTATCCCTGTCCTGGCTTCGTCTTAGGCGAGGGCGGCGGCGCCGGCAGCGGCGGCGACGGCGGCGGCAGGCGCGGGCGGCGGCCGCTTCGTGCGCGCGCCCGCGCGCGAAGAGGCCTGGCGCGGCGCATGCTGCGCGCGAGGAGGGCCGTCCAGCGGCAAAACGTGGCGAGCGGGGGGGGAGGCGGCTTTCGGCGGCAAGGGGCAGAGGAGGGCCAGGTGCGGGCGGTGCTTCGAGGCGGCCGTCGAGGTCGCCGCGGGGAGGAGTCAGGTCGAGGAGGAGGGAGGAGGAGGACCAGTGCAAACCCGAAACTCATCAACGATGTTGAAATACGTACACCCTCCCTCCAAGATCATTTGCTCATTGCCCCGTCAGGGGACAAACTTGTAAACATCTTGAAGTGTGGAAAATCATCCTTTGGACTTCAACGCCACGAGGTCTAACATGACTGTTACATCTTGGCGATCTTGAACCGTGCCAGAATACCATTCCTGGGACATGAACACCGCGAATCAACATAACCCTTGTGCCCTGCGCGGATCGATTGCGCGGACACTCGCATGTTTCCAATGTAGGATGCCGCTCTAGCGGCCCGCGTCACCCACCGCGTAAGGTCGGTATGTCATCGTGCGTGAAGTTTTTTTTCCGCCAATTCTTCAGAGGAGGAAGAGGTGCCCAAACCGTTTCCGAAGTTTGTTCGCCGGCTCGAGGTATGAGGTTGTCGAAGGTTTTCGCTGGTTCTCGGCGGTTTCCCCGCCTCGGGGTGCTCTCCAGCAGCTGCGCCTCGCCGAGAGCCTTCTGGGGTTGCCGAAATCGCCTCGAAGGGCCGCTGGAGAGCCGAGGCATTACCCTAAAACAGGAGGCATAGGCGCCGACACCTCTACCCCTTCCTCGATTCTGTGTTTTTGGGCCTCCTGGGTCCGGGCCGGCCCTCGTCGCCACGGCTGGGCCGCCTCGAGATTATGGTCAGGGCGCACCCCGGGAAGTGTCTGAGTCTGTGGAGTGGCGGTACCTGCCCAGGAACTGCAGAGTTCGCCGAATTCGGAGGTACATCGCCGAATCCACCTCACGATGGTGATGGTGATGATGCAGCATCTGCTGGTGGTGCTGATGATTATGATGATGATAATGAGGAGGAGGAGGAAGAGGAGGAGGATGATGATGAGGATGAGACGGAGGACTGAGGAGGAGAAGGGCGACGCCAATGTTGATGATCATGATGATAGTGGCTGACAATGATGATGCGGCTGCTGATGATCAGGATTAGGATGAGGGAAGCGTGGAAAACATCTTGAAGCGTGGGACACCATCCTTTGGACTTCAACGCCACGAGGTCTAACATGACTGTTACATCTTGGCGATCTTGAACCGTGCCAGAATACCATTCCTGGGACATGAACACCGCGAATCAACATAACCCTTGTGCCCTGACAGTCCTGAACGGCTCTAAAACGCAATTCCTGGTACGTTGACCATGCGAATCAGTGAGACTTATGCAAATGTTTGAAACGAATGTGCGAGGCACTTAGGCGAGAACACATACAAAAACGGCCCGCCCTCAGTCCATAACGAATGTGCGCGGCGCTGAGGTCAGAGCCACATTCTGAAAACGAACCGTCCCCAATCCGTGAAACTCATGCAACTGTTTGAAACGAATGTGCGCGGTGCTAAGGCGAGAGCCACATGTTGATAAATTACCCCCCCCAAGCCGCGAAACTTTAGAAACGGATTGAAAATAATATGGGCGGCGTGAAGGCGAGAGCCACATTTTGAAAACGAGCCGCCCTCAATCTGTGAAAATGGTTTGAACGTTTACAAAGAATACGGCGCGGCGCTTGGGCGAGAGCCACATTTTGAAAACCAGCCGCCCTCATTCGGTGAACTTTTGCAAATGCTTGAAATGAATGTGCGCGGCGTTGAGGCGAGAGCCACATTTTGAACATGACCCGCCCTCAATTCGTGAAACTCTTGCACATGCTTAAAATGAATGCGCGCGGCGCTAAGGCGAGAATCACATTTTGAAAACCACTCGCCCTCCATTTGCGAAGCTGTTGTCAGCTTTCCAGCATCAGGGCCATAAAGTGGTGGCGAAATATCAGGCGAGTCGTATGGCCCGCCCTTTCGATTGGCCTCGGGGTGCGACAGGGAGGAGCTCTCTAAAAGGAGACGGAATGGAGGAGGATGGGGAGGAGGAGGCGGCCTTCGGCGGCACTTGAGCGACGAAAGGGGACGGGATCGATTGCGCGGACACTCGCATGTTTCCAATGTAGGATGCCGCTCTTGCGGCCCGCGTCACCCACCGCGTAAGGTCGGTATGTCATCGTGCGTGAAGCTTGTTTCCGCCAATTCTTCAGAGGAGGAAGAGGTGCCCAAACCGTTTCCGAAGTTTGTTCGCAGGTTCGAGGTATGAGGTTTTCGAAGGTTTTCGCTGGTTCTCGGCGGTTTCCCCGCCTCGGGGTGCTCTCCAGCAGCTGCGCCTCGCCGAGAGCCTTCTGGGGTTGCCGAAATCGCCTCGAAGGGCCGCTGGAGAGCCGAGGCATTACCCTAAAACAGGAGGCATAGGCGCCGACACCTCTACCCCTTCCTCGATTCTGTGTTTTTGGGCCTCCTGGGTCCGGGCCGGCCCTCGTCGCCACGGCTGGGCCGCCTCGAGATTATGGTCAGGGCGCACCCCGGGAAGTGTCTGAGTCTGTGGAGTGGCGGTACCTGCCCAGGAACTGCAGAGTTCGCCGAATTCGGAGGTACATCGCCGAATCCACCTCACGATGGTGATGGTGATGATGCAGCATCTGTTGGTGGTGCTGATGATTATGATGATGATAATGAGGAGGAGGAGGAGGAGGAGGAAGAGGAGGATGATGATGATGATGAGGATGAGGAGGAGGACTGAGGAGGCGAAGGGCGACGTCAATGTTGATGATCATGATGATAGTGGCTGACAATGATGATGCGGCTGCTGATGATGAGGATTAGGATGAGGTTGATACTGAAAATGATGAGAATGTTGATGCTGACGTTGATGATGCTGATGATGATTATGATGGTGATGACGATGATGACGATGATGACGCCGACGATGATGGTGTTGTTGATGGTGATGATGATACTGCTGCTGCATATGATTAACGATGCTGATGATGATGCTGATGATGATGGTGATGATGATGTTGATGATGCTGCTGCTGTTGCTGATTATAACGATGCTGATGATGCTGATGATGGTTTCTCGATGAGGATTGGGATGCAGATGATGAGGATGCTAAGGATGATGCTAATGAGGATGATGCTGTAATGGGGATGGTGTGGGTGATGACCTGGAGGATGATGCCGATGCTGATGACGTGACCATGATCCAGAAGATCAGGGCGTGCCCCTTCTCTGCTCCCCTGTTCTGGGGTCAGGTGAAGATCCAGTGCTGGGTGCGCATGTACATGGCGCAGCACCGGGTGAAGCGGATCCGCGACGTAAGAAACCTGGAGCAGGTTCGGGATGGGAGTCGATGGGAGGTAACGGGAAGGAGGTTGAGGTGAGGGTGCGGGGGAAGGAGGAGGGTGAAACAACAGATGAGGAAGACGACGACACCGAACGAGGACGACGATGACTACGAGCCCCGTTGCCACCCTGCCTTCCCTGTGCATGCACATGGGGACTAGCGACTAGGCGCGCGTCCGTTGAGGATGATATTGTAGTTCTTGATTCTTCCGTGTAACCCCGTAACCCCGACACTCACATCCCAGGGATAAGAATGTTCGGGGCCTCTGTATGGTGAGATGAAACATAACACGTTGCCCGGCAGCTCGCATGTACGGATGCACGGATGTACAGTGCGCAGATGCACGGTGTGCGGAGTGCGTGGATGTATGGAACACATGTTTCGGAGTGTGCGGAGTGTACGACTGTTAGATATACGGATGTACGGATGTACTCGCGAGCCCACGCAGGGACACCCTCTCCGCCCGCGCTTTCGCGGGGCCTCCCTGCCACACGTTCTTGACTTGGAAGGGCTGGAGTGGTGAGAATCCTACCGCTCTGGCACACATGGTTGGAATGGTGGGAATCCGATGGCCCTGCCACACGTCCATGACTTGGCAATACTGAAATTCTGAGAATCACATGGCCCTGCCACAAGTTCGTAATTTGGGAAGGCCGAGATGGTGATAATCCAATGGCCCTGCCACACGATCGTGACACTGTTGCTGTGTATGTTAAGAAGATGGCAACTATCATTATTAATTGGCCCAGTGGATAATAAAGTTCGGCCTCGCCGCCCCCCACCGCCGACCAAAAGTGTCTTGGCCGTAGATCATCAACAATGGGGCGTTAAGGGGGGGTATTGTTCATTGAATTGCTTCGCTCATTTCGCCGGCCCCTAATGTGGCATCCATGGTTGTTGCCCGCGCGTTCGTTGTCCATGTTGGGCTGCTGGGCGGTGGCCGTTTTCCAGCGACGTTACGTCAGCAGTCTTGGAGGTGGAGCAGTTCCTGTGTAGTTGTTTCTGGGGGGCTTGGTTGGGGGCAGTCATGGGTATTTGGCACCATCGTGAGTTGGGCTTGTCACCCATGGAGTTGGGCTTGTCGTCCATGAAATTCTGCCTTTGGGCCATTCGAGTGCTGGTTTGGGAACTGTTTGCGGCTACGCTGGGATTTCGGGGAAGGGGGGCGCGCTGCTGTTTGCGAGGATGTTGGACTTCCTTCGGCGGCCCGCTCTACGACGAATCTTGCAGGATCCTGGGTCCGCCTGCATACGAGTTGAACATATCCGGGGAGGGTCGCAAGAGGCTTCTTGGGGTCCTTGGAGCCTCTTTGGCTCTTGAGGGCCTCTTTGTGCTTCCGGGGGGCCGAGAGCTGTCCGTGCGGGCCCCCCGTCTGGGCCACCTGTTGGAGCCGTCTTGGGGGTCCTCTTGGGCCGCCTCGGAGGCCTCTTGGGCCGTCTTGGAGCCCTCTTGGGCCACTTTGGGGCCTTGCTTTAGGCACTTCGGGCGATCTTGGGCAGTTTTGAATCGCTGGGAAGCCGAAGCGGCGAGAACCTCCAGATGTTCCAAGAACCAACCGGAAATCTGCTATTTGCCTCTAGGGGCCCATTTGGGCCGCCTCTGGGAGGCCTCTTGGGGCGTCTCTTGGAGGCGTCTTTGGCCGTCTGGAGGCCATCTTGGGCGTCTTGGACGGATCGGTCGGCGACTCGGGGCCCTCTTGGACTGTCTTGGAGGCCTCTTGGGGTCCTCTTCCAGCGCTCTGGGGCGCCCGGAAGGCCTCACCCCAGGGGGGAAAGCCATCTCTGACCCCGACTGCCCAGGCTTCTCCCGGGTTTCTCCGTCCGAGGAACCCCAAGGGCCGCGTCGCGCGCGCGAACTAGAATATTGTGTCGTTATCCCCACAAACGCATGCAGAAGTGATCGCCAGGCGAGTTATTTGAATTAGGGTCGTTTAGAAGCATGTAGTGGAACAGCTTCCCGGAAGGATCCATGTTTGGGTCTTCTTGATGCCCTCTTGGGGTCTTCTTGGGGACAGCGAGGAGCTGGTGAACGAGGAGAAGGAGGAGGCGGACAAGGAGGGCGACGATCAGGGCAAGAACGAGTGTAAGTACAAGGACGATAAGGAGGAGGAGGAGGAGGAGGAGGAGGAGGACGACGACGACGAGTAGAAGGAGGAGGACACCGACGGCAAGGAAGATGAGAAGGTGGAGGAGGATGAAAACGGAGACGACCACGAGGACGACGATGAGGAAAACGAAGACGAGACCTGAGGAGGAAGATCAGGACAACGAGGACGAGAACTCTTGGAGTTCCTTTCGGAGTATTCTGAGGCTTATGTGGGGCTTCTCTGTGGGTCCTACTGGGCCCTCTTGGGGCCCGTGTGGAAGGTTCTGGGGCTGTGATGGATGAGGCTCGTTTAAGGTGTCTTCGGTCCTTTGGGCGGCCACTGCGGGGGCCCTCTTGAGGTCCTTATGGGAGCCCTAGAGCGCCTCTTGGAGCCATCTTGTAGGACGTCGATCAAAAGCCGAGGTGTCATCGATTCCACCACCTGCCCCGCCCTCAGGATCACTCGTAAGTTCCCCTTGGGATTGTCTTGGGGGACTCTTGGGCGCGTGTTGTATGCGCGCGCGTGTTTTTTGTTGTTCAGTTGTTTGATGTGTGTGTGTGTGGGTGTGTGGGTGCGTGTGCGTACGTGCGTGCGTGCGTGCGTGCGTTCGGGCGTGCATGCGTGCGTGCGTGCGTGTGTGTGTGTGCGTGTGCGCAGCAGCAGTCCTGGCGGGAGCGTGCCGTGGCATTATGTAGCCCCGTCTTCGTCTCGCCAGAGGCCATCGCATGGCGTCGTGGTCGGTCCGGTCACTCACAGTACACTTTTCTCCCCCGTCGCGTCCGCGCTGCGCCTCCCGTATTGGACGTCCCCTTGGACGGCGGCCAGTGCGCGCTTCCTTTCTCCCCGCCATCCACGCCCGGATGGCAATGCGATGCCCCCCGCCTCAGAGCAGGCGCCCGCGCGCACCAGCCTAGGTTTCGGCCGCCGTAGTTGATTTGCGTCGTCTCGTCGCCGCGCGCAAGGCCGCGACCTCCAACAAATGTGTATATATGTATGAATAGATATGGTTTGGTCGATGTCTTTGAGCATGCTCCGTCTTAAAAGAACTTCAGCCGCTGATTGCAACACATCGGCGCGCCAGAAGGAGCATTGTGTGAACGCGCCCCCGCGCTTAGTACTTCTGCTGACTCCGCCTCGTCGCTGCGCGCGAGGCCGCGTCCGCCAAAAGTGTGTGTGTGTGTGTGTGTGTGTCTCTGTCTGTGTCTCTGTCTGTCTGTCTGTCTGTCTGTCTGTCTGTCTGCCTGCCTGCCTGCCTGCCTGCCTGCCTGTCTGCCTGCCTGTCTGTCTGTCTGTCTGTCTGTCTGTCTGTCTGTCTGTCTGTCTGTCTGTCTGTCTGTCTGTCTGTCTGTCTGTGTATTGTGTGTGTTGTGTGTGTTGTGTACTTGTGTGTGTTGTGTGTGTGCGTGCCCATGCGTGTGCCCGTGCGCGTGCCCGTGCGTGTGCCCGTGCGTGCCCGAAGTGGCGGCTGCACTCCACAGCTCCGCCGGCGAAGCCACGGTGCGCGCGTGCCCGCGCGCGCGGGTGCGCCCACGCGCGGCACGTGCGCTCCGCACGGTGCGCGCGTGCCCGCGCGCCCTGGGCCACTTCCGGCCGTCGTTGGCCTGTCCTGGAGCCCGTGGAGCGTCCTCGGGGTGCCCTGGGACCGCGTGGGAAGCCGCTTCTCGGGGTGGGGGGCGACCGGCGGGCCTCCTGGGACCGCTTTGGAGGGGATCGTGCCTGGCTCGCGCGTGCCCGCGCGTTGGGCGAGGCCGCGCGCGCCCCTGCCGCGCCAGGATTGCCAAGGAGGCCACCGGGGCCTCCAGAGCACCCCTCACGAGGCCCAGAGGGTCCCAGGGACTCCAACATTGAGCGACAAGCTAGGGGCACCTTGGGCCAGGGACACCTTTAGCACCCCCCGAACTCTGCCTGGTAGTCGAGATGGGAACGCGCCGATTCGACGTCGATTTGGCATCGAGTTGCTGCCGATTTCGCGTCGGCTAGCGCCGATGAGCGTCGGCCAGCGTTGACTCGCAAAAGGCAGCTAGATGGCATGGGAGGCTCCCGTGGGTTGCCACCGCGGGGAGGGTGGAGGCACGCCTGAGGGCGGCGGTGGACATCCAGCGCGTTTTCCGGGGTTACCTGGGCCGGCAGCGGTATTCCGTGGCCCGCAAGAAGTACGGCGAGGATTCCGCCGCCCGCCTGTTGCCGCCTTTCGCTCGCGCCGCCCCCCATCGCTGTCCCCCAATCCCTCGAAGATGAGGCGCCCTCTGCCGTTCACTCGCTCCCACTGAATTATCCCCTCCCCCAGTGAGCCGCCCCCTCCCATGTCCCTCCCAAGGCCTCCCAACTGAGCCATACTGTAGCACCCCGCAGATGCGGATAAGAGTGAGGGGGCGGTGGGGACGTCGGTAGTCTGCGAGACTCTGGAGAAGCCCGCCGCGGGCGCCGATTTTTTTGTCAAACTAATGTGGGTTGGTCGCAAATGAGTCGCGGCTGGGTCACAGGTGGGTCACGGGTGGGTCACGGGTGGGTCGTTGTTGGGTCGCGGGTGTGTCGCGGGTGGGTCGCGGGTGGGCTGCGGGGGAGGTCGCGGGGTGGTCGCAAGTGGGTCGCGGGGGTCGTGGTTGGGTCGCGGCGGGGTGGGTCGCGGGGTGGGGCGGGGGGGTTGGTCGCGGGTGGGTCGCGGGTGGGTCACGGGTGGGTCAATGTTGGGTCAATGTTGGGTCGCGGGTGTGTCGCAGGTGGGTTGCGGGGGAGGTCGCGGGGTGGTCGCAAGTGGGTCGTGGGTGGGTCGCGGGTGGGTCGCGGGTGGGTCGCGGGGTGGGTCGCGGGTGGGTCGCCGGGTGGGTCGCGGGTGGGTCGCGGGTGGGTCGCGGGTGGGTCGCAGGGTGGGTCGCGGGTTGGTCGCGGGTTGGGTCGCGGGTGGGTCGCAGGGTGAGTCGCGGGGTGGGTCGCGGGTGGGGTCGCGGGTGGGTCGCGGGTGGGTCGCGGGTGGGACGACAACAACAAACAATTCACAACGCAATCATGCAATAAGCAGAATCCTCACCACGGATCCCCTCTTCAGCCACGCATTCAGTCACCATGAATGACCGTTCGGCCCCCTCACTCTGACCCTCCATTCAATCTTTCGAAAAAGAGTGCGAAAGCTGACAGCTCCAAAATAGTTGTCCCCTGCCATCCCTCTCCTCTCCCCTGTCTTTTCCCTCTTTCGCTCTTCCTGCTCTATCCGCCCTCCCTCCCTCACCCCGAGCGGAAAGCTCGATTGCGCTTGGCCATCCACCCTCTCTTAAAGAAGGGTGTGCTGAGGGACACTGGTCCTGGATTTTGTTCGCCGCTTTCGGTCTCCTGCCCCAGGACCCTCAAACCGAATCAGGATGAAAAGATGGCCCTTGGGAAAGCCCCGGGGTCCAGGACCTGTTTCGCTCGAGATTCGTGTTCTCTCCGTGCCAATTCCGTTTCTCAGTTAGGCGTCCTCCCCGCGCCACCCTCCCGTCCAGCTCGACCCTCGCCTCTGGCGACGAGAGCTGCACGCAGGCGACAGGAGCTGCACACCCATGCTCTGACCCTGGCCAGGCCCATCCCGGGCCTACAGTCGGGCCCAGATTGGCAGGTCGACCCTGCCAAGTCAAGGGTACCCTTGTGTCCTGTGTCTCGCGACCCATGCTTCCTACATTCCTGTGGCAATGTGGCCCTCGAAAGGGTCTTGTGTCCGCTCGCGTGTCCTGTCCAATCGAGTCCGACTGTAGCATCCGTGTGCGCTCCGCCCTGGCCACGCCAGGGGGGCGTGCACGCCGGTCACGTGCCCTGGGTGGGCCTGGCGCAGATCGGCGTACGTGCTGGGCCTGTTTTCCACCACCACCACCACAACTTGGAGGGGGGAAGGAGGACGAGGAGGAGGAGGAGGAGGAGGAGGAGGACCCCTCTCCCTCCAACTTATGGTGGTGGTGGTGGGAAACAGGCCCATCAATACGGTTGGCGTCCTTGCATCATGCCATCTACCCCGCCCGTTGCCGCCGTCGCCTGATGCTTTCCGATCGAGCCTCGAGGGTATCGCCCTACTCTCGACCTCTGGACCTTCGACGGGCCGCGATGACGACGATTGACGATGGAGTACGACCGATGACGACGGACGATGATGGACGATGAGGGACGTCGAGGGCCGACGGACGATGGGCAGCGGGAGACCACGATAAGGAGACGACGACGGACAATGACGGAACACGACGGACGGCGAATCTTGACGAACGACGAGGGACGGCGAGCGATGGACGACGACGACGGACGACGACGACGGGCGACGAGGGACGACGATCGGCGATCGACGACCGACGAGCGGCGAGCAAGCGACCACGGGCGATGGGCCGACGTGGCGCAGCTGCTCTGCTTCCATGTCGATCGATTGATGCCTTCGTCATGGTCGGTCGACGGTCGTCGTCGATCGATCGATCAGTCGATCGTCGTCGATCGTCCATCGGTCGTTGTCGTCGATCGTTGTCGTCGATGGTCAACTCCGTCGATCGATCGATCGTCGTCGACCGCTGTCCTCGGAACGAGGACGAGGACGACCGATCCCCAGAGGAGGGGGGCAAGGAACACAACGAGGTCCTCGTTGTCCTCCTAACCCTTGGCCTCTCGGGGGACGTCGCCCCGTGTCGCCTTCGTAGTCGTCGTCGTCTTCGTTTTCCTCGTCGTCTTCGTCGTCGTGGATGGTCGTCGTCGTCGTCGCCTGCCCAGAGAGGTAGGGATGAGCAGCAGCAGGATGACGAGATGGAATGGGAGGAAGTGAAGGTGAAGGTCGAGTAGGACCGTGATGAGGGGCGGAGGAGCGAAGGCTGGCTGGGGAAGTGGGGGATCAGGAAGATGAGGCCCCAGTCATGCGACGTCCTGATTTTTTCAGGACGGCGTCCCTGGAAGTCCCGACCCTTTCCCCCGGACCGGTTTTTCGTCCTGAGTCGTTTTTAGCGCTCCCGAGGCCTGGCGAGGGCCCCCCGAGGCCGAAGTTGGCGCCAGAAACCTCCCCTCCTGTTTTTTTTTACGACGCGATCATGTCTGGGGCTGGAGTGTCCCTCGCCTCCAGGACAAGCAGAAGTACGACGCGGCCACGAAGATCCAGGCCGGTGCCACCGCGGCGGCAAGTGCAGCCGGGTCGGTGGGGGAGGGCTCGCCGGCCGTCTGGCGCTGGCGCCAGGTTTAAGTCGGGCCTGTCCCTCCTATAGAGGGGGATATTCAAGAGTAGTCAACAAAAATATGAATCAAGCAGTGGCAAAGCGTCCCGGCTCGCTTATAGCCCCACCAAACAATGTTCTAAGAACAATTTCGTGGTTCCCAGGAAATGTTCTCAGAACATTTCTGGCGGGGTCTGTCTTGGTTTAGTGCATCGGGTTTATGTTCTAAGAACATGTTTTGTTATTAGAACATTGTTGGGTTCTAAGAACATTCCGTGGTAGGCCTATAGGACTGCTTGGACTGTCGGTCCCTGCTCAAATAGAGGGGGATATTCAAGAATAGTCAACAAAAATAGTCAGGGGACGATGTGCTCAGTATTTCTTAAGTTTGTTGTTATATTTTTTGAGTGTTGTTAAGTTTCCTTCCAAAGTCCGCCTGTAGGGGGACACGCCCGACCTAACGCTGGCGCTGGGTCACGTCGAGAAGAGTGGCCAGCGAGCTGCAGGGAAGCAGCTCTGATGTTCGTTGGTGATCGCTGTCTTGTTCATTGTTTTGCCGATCGGCGGGGGCCCTCGCACCCCCTCTCCCCCCAGGAGTACGTAGATCTGGACTGTTTTGGGGCGCCTGTTTCAAGCAGGTGGAGTCTCCCCCACAGGACGCACTGTTGCAAACCGGCGCATTCAGCAAAAGTCCGGAGCCAAACCCACCCCGCCCCCCCCCTCTTCCGCCCAATGTCGAAACGCCGAATCAGAAAATGTTCACAGCTGCGCCTACGTTCGGGGAGACAACTTTACATCTTCGTGGGTCGGAAATCGGCCGAATCCAGCATATTCCCGGCTAGTCCAGCTCAATCCCGTCTAATTCGGCTTAGTTCAGGCTGAATATGGCCTGGTCTGGCTCAATGCCTCCGTGGTCGAGTGTAACTCATCGCCCGGATTTGTTTTTTACGAAGACCTCGCTGGGGGTCTTTCCTAACCCCTCCCTGCTGCCTCCTCCTCCTCCTCCTTCTCCTCCTCCTTCTGCTCCTCCTCCTCCTCCTTCTCCTCCTCCTTCTGCTCCTCCTCCTCCTCCTGCTCCTCCCCCTGGGGAACAACCAATGACCTACGTAAAATCTCGGAAGTCTGCGCGGAAGTCTCGGATCGGCGCTGGACCCCCTCTCTCAATGGCGCGCGGAGTGCGCCAGGGGTGGAGCCAGATGAGCCGCCAGGGAGCCCCATCGCCGCTCCGAGAAATCCGCGCGGACCTCAGAGTCTTTCTGTTCATGTTGTTGCTTGTGCCCCTGACCTCCTTCTGTCCGCACGCGGCCTCGTCGTAGCCTCGGCCAGCGAGGTCGTCGTCGTCGTCGCCGCCTCCGCCGTCGTTCGCCGCCGTCATTCGTCGTCGTCGTCGCCGTTGTTGCCGTCGTCGCCGTCGTGTCGCCGTCGTCGCCGTCGCCGTCGTTGTCGTTGTCGTCGTCGCCGCCTCCGCCGTTGTTCGCCGCCGTCGTTCGCCGCCGTCGTTCGTCGTCGCCGTCGTGGCCTTCGCCGTCGCTGTCGCCGTCTCCGTCCCCCATGTTCCCCGCCCCGCAGTCGATGATGCGGAGGATCTGGGCGTCCGACCGCGTGGAGGCCGCGCTGGGCGCGCGGCACTCCCCTCTTCCCGCGCCTCTGTGGCCAGCCGTTTTTTTGTTCTTGGGAGGGCCCAGTCGTCCTGATCCCTCCCTCCTCCTCCTCCTCCTCCTCCTCCTTCTCCCCCTCCTCCTCCTCCACCTCCTCCTCCTCCTCCGCCCTCCTCCTCCGCCCTCCTCCGCCCTGTCCTGCGCGCGCCCTGCCCTGCCCAGGAAGCCCCACCCTGCCCAGGAAGGTGCGGATTCATTGTCGGGGCCTATCGCCGATCAATCGACGATGTATCGCCGATTCCAGGTCGATGCATCCCCCCTATGCCTATCTCCCCCTATCGTTGCCCCTCATATCTCGCCGCCGACGAATGCTCTTTTGATGCAGGCGGGATGCCGATTTTGAGCGTTGCTCGGAAGAGGGGTCGCCACGTAGCAGACATCCGGGCGATGCACCTTGGCCTCCAGGCTGGTACGTGGGCGTCGTCGTCTCCACAGTCTCTTCTGACGGGAGACAACGATTGGTTTCATCGCTCCCTGAGCTACACTGAAGGGTAATAAGTGGAGGTCCGCGCGAATTTCGTGAATCTACGCTAGAGCCCAGGCCCTGTGGTGCACGCGAGCGTCGTTAAACGCAGACGTGTCGCTGCGAGCAGGCGAAGTGTGGCGCGCGCGTGGGCTGTGGTGAGCACGTTTTGTTGTGGCGCGCGCGGGCACTGGTAAATACGTGCCTTGTGGTATACGCAGGGATGGAGGTGTCGCACGCTGCTGTACATAACAGCTGTGGCGTGCACGCGGGCGCTGAAGTGCACGCAGGCCTTGTGGTGTACACAACCGCTGTGGCGCACGCAGCTATTGCCGTACCAGCCGCCGCGGTGCATCCCTGCATGGCGGTGCGCACATGCAGTGCGGTGGGCAGTGGCAGAGTTGTGCGCGCAGGCCCCGTGGTGCACACAGGCGCTGTGGTGTACAACATGTGGTGCACGTATGCGCGCTGCAGTGCTCATGACAGCAAGCCTGCCCTTGTTTCTGTTGCGGCGCAGTCGCGACATTTTTTTATGTATCTCGCTGTCGGGTATCAACAATAACCGCTTTGGTTGGCCCTTGATACCTGCGCGGGAGAGGGCCGCTGCGCCTGTGAGCACGCGAAGATGCAGCACCCCCTCAGCGGCGTCGGGTTGCATCTATGCGTTCTTAATGTTTCTTGGTTGGGCGTGCCCGCCGTGCCCGCGATGCCGTGCTAGTTCAGACAGCGTTGCGTGCTCCACGAACGTAAACTATGGTTTTCCCCCGCTCTACGCCATATGAGTAGCTTTCTTCCCCCTCCCTAGGGGGATGTATTTGTTTGCGCAGCTTGCGGGAAACATCCGGACGATCGGGGTTCGATTCTATCGAGCTGCCCCTGGCAATTCCGCCGCCGAGCCAGCAAAGCATTATGGGCGGTCGTTGTTTCGCGGAGGCAAGGGGGCTTGCTGGGGGCCTCTTGGGGCAGCAGGCTCGGATTCGTAGTTCGTGGTCCCATTCTTGGGCGTTGCTTGGGGTCCTGGGCGCCACCTGGGCCGTCTTGGAGCCCACCTGGGCCGTCTTGGAACTCTTGGGGGCCTCTTGAGCCGTCTCGGGGGGGGTCTTGGAGCGTCCGAAACTCGGGAGTGAGACGCAAGATTCTCTCTTGGCCCCGGCGCTGGCGGCGCGGTGGTTGCCGGCCGCGAGCGGGCGCGCCTCGAGGAGGAGGGGGAGGGGGGGGAGGGGGGGAGGAGGGGGGGAGGAGGGAGGAGGAGGAGGAGGAGCAGGAGGGAGGAGGAGGGAGGAGGAGGAGGAGGAGAGGAGGAGGAGGAGGAGGAGGAGGAGGAGAGGAGGAGGAGGAGGAGGGAGGGAGGGAGGAGGGAGGAGGAGGAGGGAGGAGGGAGGAGGGAGGAGGGAGGGAGGAGGGGGAGGAGGAGAGAGGAGGAGGAGGAGGAGGAGGAGGAGGAGGAGGGGAGGAGGAGGAGGAGGAGGAGGAGGAGGAGCAGGGGAAGGGAGGAGGGAGGAGGAGATGGGAGGAGGGAGGAGGAGGAGGGAGGAGGGAGGAGGGAGGAGGAGGAGGGAGGAGGGAGGAGGAGGAGGAGGAGGAGGAGGAGGAGGAGGAGGCGGAGGAGGAGGAGGAGGAGGAGGAGGGAGGAGGAGGAGGAGGAGGAGGAGGAGGAGGAGGAGGAGGGGGGGGAGGAGGATGAGGAGGGGGGGAGGAGTATGAGGAGGACATGGTCGGCGGCGGGGCAGCAGGTCGGTGGGGCGGCTGTCGCAGGAGGACCGGCAGCGGGGTTACGGCAGGTTCGCGTCGTGTCGACAGGTGGCGACCCCTCCTCCAGCGTTCAACGTTGAACGCCAGCGACTGCCCAGAATCGGTCGATGTTGAACGATCGGGCGTTTTCGGAAGCGGCCGATCGTTCAAGGTTGAACGAGCCCCGCGGAGTCAGGGACTAGGGCCCGGGTCGACGCGACACGAACCTGCCGTAGGGAGAGGGGGGAAGGTTTCGTAGAATTACCCCTGCTTCTTAGAAGGCGTGGGCCTCGTCTAAAAATGGAAGGCGGGCGCCTTCAAGAGGCAGCCTCCTTCCAGGACGCCTTCCCCCCTCACCCTATATCCCCTTGCGTGCGCCGCCAATTTGGGAGGATCTCAGCTGCACACCTGCGCGGACTGTGTCCAGGCCAGTCCTCGGATGAGGAAAAGGTACCGATACTGGTGCCCTAGCCTCGTTTCCGCTTTCTGTTCTGGGGCCTCCTGGGAGGCCCTCGTCGCCACCGCCTCCCAGGATACGTCCGCGGAGTAGCGGTATCGGCATCTTGCGCGGATTGTGTCCAGGCTAATCTTGTGCCCAGGACGCAGGACGGGCCTGTGCAGGATCGGATCGGCCTCCTCCTCCGCCGCCTCTTCTCCTCCTCCTGTGGTCGGCGTCCTGCTATGTTCCATTTCCCCCGCCCCCTCCCGAGGCGTTCCTGGCATCTCAGTCCCTGCACTCGTTGCTTCGGGAGCCTGGATGTCAGCAGCGCGCTGCAACCCCCTTCCGCTGAGGCCTAGAGTGAGGGAGGGCGGCGAAGGGGCAGGAAAGGGGGGCGTGGTGGACGGAGGACGGCGCGCTCGCGAGAGAGGATGACGGGATGGAGCAGCTCAAAGGAGGGTGTGGGGTCCCTCTTCGTCCCCGCCAGTGACGACGACGACGAAGGCGGCGACCACCACGACGACGGCGGTTCTGACGACGACGACGACGACGAACGACAACGACGTAGCTTGCCACAACGACGACCGCGGCGACCGCGACCACGACGACAGGCGACGACGGTGACGCGCCAGGTTGTGCGCGGCAAGAAGCTCGAGGAGATGAGCAGGGCCGCGACGCACCTGCGCAAGGCGCGCGCGGTGACGTAATCGCTGCCGTCGTCGTCGCCGCGACCGTCGTCGTCGTCGTCGCGGTCGTCGCCAGGGACAACTTCGTGTTCGTCGGGGCGGAGCAGGAGAGGACGAGCTCCTGCCTTCTCGTCTACCTGGTTATCCTTCTTGTTACCTCCCCATCGCCCCCCTCCTCTTGGCCCTCCCTCTCCTGCTCCTCGCTTCTCCTTCTCTCCCAACTCTTTCCTTGCCCTGTGCCCCTTACAGGCCCCCTTGTGGCGCATCCTGGAGCCCTCTTTGGACGTCTTGGGAACCTTTTTGGGCCGTCCTGATGCCAGCTTGGGCGTCTTTTAGCGCTCTTGCGGCGCTGTCGCGTGTGCAACTGTCGCCACACTCGTAGGCTCGTCGGGGACCCAACGCAGATGTGTCATGCGCACACCCAGACGAAACATCGCGGCTCCGTGCGAGGGCTGCCAATGGCGCAACGATCGCCAGTGTGCGGATACCGCCACTTTCATTGGTTCCTTGGAGGTCCAACGGGGCGGAGGTGTGCGCGGCTTTTTGGGGTGCGTTCGCCACTGTCATCCCGAGAGCGTGTGACTGGCGGGGGGGGCTTTGAACGTGCTCCGACGTTGTCTGGCGATGTGCCCAAGAAGGCTGCACAACTCTGAATGTGTTCTTCTGTGTGTAGCGGTCATACCGGCAGTCGCGTCGCATTTGGAAAGGTTTGGGTACTTTTCGGGTAATTCCCTTCGCCATGGTATAGGAGGAGGAGGAGGAGGAGGAGGCGGAGGAGGAGGAGGGCGGAGGAGGAGGAAAGGAGGGAACGGGAGGAGGAGGATTAGGAGGAACAGGAGAAGAAGGACAGTGGAGGAGATAAGGGAATCTTACACCAGATAATAACCCCAATCAGTGGATGGTTTGATCGTTTGGGAGATCGACCGCGAACCCAGGAACCCGGAACCCACCGAAATCGGCCTGGAACCAATAACCAGGAACGGGAACCCGCAAGCAGGAACCCGGGAACCCAGTCGGCCACCAAGATCGGCGGGAAAGCTTCGCCAAATCGTGCAACTTCCGCTGGGACCCCTTCAGTGCAAGCACTGATTGGGGAACGTCGGGGAGACGAAGGAGGAGGCGGAGGAGGAGGAGGAGGAGGAGGCGGAGGAGGAGGAGGCGAAGGAGGAGGAGGCGGAGGAGGAGGACAGAAGTGGCCGCAGCAGGATGAGCACGGAGGGCGTGAGGATACGGGGAAGGAGGGGGGGGGGGGCAGGGCGAGTGGGCGCACGACGACGAGGAGGACACGGACAGGGGGAGGGAGGACTGCGATGCTCAGGGAGAGGAGGGCGAGAGTGAGGAGGCCGATGAGGGACGAGGTGAGGTGGAGGGTGAAGGCGACGATGAGGGTCAGGACGGGAGGGGGGGGAGTAGGTGGACGGGCAGGAGCAGCAGGAAGCAGGAGGTGGACGAGCACCTGCGGCAGCGGCCACAGCAGTGGGCGGTTGCGCCGTGCAGGTGTGGCTTGGCATCAAGACGCGCAAGAGGTACAGGGAGCTGTTGGACGAGTTGGCGGAGAAGGTTGTTGCGCATCCGCCTCCCGCTCCTCGAGGGGGGAGCGAGGGAAGGAACGATGTGTACCAGGAGGCAGGCCTCAGAGTATCTAGCACGCGCACCACTGCGCGCTAGCTCCCGCACAGGTGGAGCAGGCCATCACCATTCAGCGCTACGTCCGCGGCTTCCTAATCAGGACATCCTGGAGTAGGAGGGCAAGGGCAGGAGCGGGAAGGGGGAGGAGGAGGAGGAGGAGGAGGAGGAGGAGGAGGAGGAGGAGGAGGAGGAGGAGGAGGGAGTGTTGGAAGAGGCAGCAGGAGAGGGCTCACGGGGTCTGCGACGTCGCTGCGGCGGGGTGGTGGTCGGCCAGTGGGGCCCAGGCCACGGCCTCGGCGATAGGGACCGGCGAGGGGATGTTCAGTGTGGGTTCGGCCGCTCGGCTCTGCCGCGCGAGGCTCTGCGCCCCGACCCTGCCGCCCGCCATGACTTGTTCCTGGCGTCGACCCCCAGAAGTCTCGCCCCACTTTCCAGGGCCACGTGTGCGTCCTGAGTCGCTGTTTGACGGTCCCTGACCCCCGACGTCATGGCTTTCCCATGACCTCGGTACTCAAAAGTCTCGACGCATGCCCCAGGTCAGTTTTTGTTATGTTGAGTCGGTTTCTCTACAGCCCCGAGGCCTGGTAAGGGCTTCCAGAGGCCGAAAATTAACAATAATCCTTGAGTCGTATTTGTTCATGTGCGCTGCTTCGGTTAGGCGCGCACCTGTGCGCAGCGCCTTCACTCATGCAGCTCGTCCCTCGCACAGGTGTATTATGAAGTATTCTGGATGGGATGTTATCAGTGGGGGGGTGATTAACCTTCCGACTGGGCTTGCCCAATCCCGCCCTCTCCATTCTCCTCCCCCTCCTCATCCTCCTCCTCTTCCTCGAACCCTCCCTTCACCCGTTCCGACAGCACGTGCCCACCCCCCCAGCGGATCCAAGGGGGGGCGATGATTGTCCCGTCCAGAGCGCCTCCTGTGGAGCGATACAGCGATCGGACGCCCGCCGACCGTTCAAGTCTGAACGACCCGCGCGGCATCAGATGCCAACGCGCAGGTCGTCACGGCGAGACCACCCGCTCCCGGCGCTGCTCCTTGGGAGGCCACCCCCTCCTCTTCCTCCTCCTCCTCCTCATCCTTCTCCTCCTCCTCCTCCTCCTCCTCCTCCTCCTCCTCTCCTCATCCTCATCCTCATCCTCATCCTCATCCTCTGCCTCCTTCTCCTCCTCCTCCTCCTCCTCCTCCTCCTCCTCCTCCTCCTCGCACTCTTCATCCTCCTGCCGCGTTGGATCCTCCAGGCGCTGCTCCCTGGGAAGCCGCCCGCTCCCCGTGGCGCCCCCGGGCCGACAGACAGACAGACAGACAGACAGACAAACAGACGGACGGACAGACAGACAGACAGACAGACAGACGGACAGACAGACAGACAGACACACACACACACACACTGAATCGTCGAACCCCTGGGACTTGGCATCGCTCGGACGCGTGCATTTTTCCTTCGGCGAGGACCCTCGAGTAGCATCCTTTTATCACTTGGCGAAAAAAAAAACACGCACGAAACCAACAAAAAACACAGGGAATGGACGTCCGAGCGATGGCCAGGGGAGGCTACCCGCCCACCGTGGCGCCCCGGGCCGCTCGGCGCTCAGCCGCCCTGGCCCGGGGGCAGCCGCGGGGGCACGATATTTTTTTCGCGGTGCGCGGCCCGTCCTCCCTTCGGGAGGAGAAAGAACAGACACAGACGCACACTGAATCGTCGGTTCCCCCTGGCATCGCTCGGACGTGAGCATTTTTTCTCGGCGAGGACCATCGCGGACCATCCTGGACCATCGAACAAAAAAAACACGCACGATACCGACACATGCACGGGAAATGGACGTCCGAGCGACGGCCAGTTCCCCAGACAAATATGGGAAGATATGGGCAGTGGGGGAAGACAGAAAGACCCAGACTATCTGGGAAACCATGGGAATCATCTTATTTCTGTGTGTATTTATTAGTGTGTCCCTGGGCCCCTTTACTGTCTCCCTCCTCGCTCCTCGTCACTCTCGCCTGCGGCCCCGTCGGGCGTGCGGCAGCTGGAGGCGCGGAGGCTGTGACGGAGTCCCGCGCCCAACCAGCTGGTCCTCGTCCTCCTCCTCCTCCTCGTCCTCCTCTTCCTCCTCCTCCTCCTCCTCCTCCTCCTCGTCCTCCTCCTCCTCCTCCTCCTCCTCCTCCTCCTCGTCTTCCTCCTCCTCCCCCTCCTCTTCCTCCTCCTCCTCCTCCTCCTCGTCCCCGCGGTGGCGGCGCGAGGGCGCCAAGGCAGATTGCGGGGGGCCGCGCGGTCGTGCATTGTCCCTGGGTGCGCGGCGGGCAAGCGGACCAAGTGGTGAGGATCGTGTTTGTTGCGTTGTTGTTGTTGTTGAAGATTATTACTTCTAAAGAATTATTATTGTTGGACCCCCTGGTGCACGCCCCCCGCCCAAAACCTAGGCCGCAGCTACATTTTCATCATTTTTCTGCGAAAGCTTCAGAAAAGTGGATTACCCCCGGATCCGGTTTTTTGTTGACGCTCGTTTTCCCTTGCAAAAAACAATAGAAAATGAAAATTCTTGTTCTTAGTTGATCAAATTTCAAGAATCCCTTGCAAAAAATAAGGTAAAGTGGACATTCGCGCTCGCAAGACGAAATCCTTCCAAAACCTTAGGTTTCGTAGCGATTTTAACATAAAAACATCAAAAACCCAATGGTTTTTTAAGAAAAAATTGTCAAAATGTCCTTCCGCGCGCTCTTGCGGATTCATAGGAAACACACCACTTTTTAAACATTTCTGTCAAAAGGGTCTTTGCGTGCTACTTCTTCAGGTGCTTTGAACTTCTCCAACAACGGTTGCGCGCCTGCGAGGGCCACCATCCCTTGCAAAAAATGAGACGAAGTGCACATGCGCGCGGCCGCCGCGCGCGCATGTCGAAATCCTGCCAAACACAATGGGTTTTCAATAATTTCAAGATGCGATGTTCAGAAAACATATGAAAACGCACTACTTTCTCATCCGAAAAATCTCGAAATCCATTCGCGGTCTCTTGATGAATCTTTAAAACCCAAGATGGCCCCAACAGGCGCGCAAGATGGCCCCAAGAGGCGTCCATGAGGCCCAAAGAGGCGCCCAAGATGGTCCCAAGAGGCTTCAAGAGGACTCCAAGAGGCCCCCAAGAGGTTCCAGAGAGGCTCCAAGGTGGCTCCAAGAGACCCCCAAGATGGCCCCAGGAGGCGTTCTAGAGGCCCCAAGAGTCCGCCGTGAGGGTCCAATAAGCCCCCAAGAGGCCCCAAGATGGTTCCAAGGAGCCCCCCAAAGGCTCTCAAGTGGACCCCAAGTGCCCATGGACCCCAAACCGCTTGTACATACGTATAATTTCAGAACTTACCGTGCATGCGATCGTTTACAACATGGTGGACCGTGCGTATGTCACGAACCTTGTATACATGTGTTTCTCTCCCTCCGTCTGGCTGTGCACGCGCGCGTTGGGCACTGAGAGTTAGGATCATAGCGCCATGAGTCTATGAGCAATGCATGCGTCATCCTTGGGACTGTATAACATCAGTGTAACACATGTACTTCTGTAATCGCATCCCCACGAATTTGCCCCAAAAATGTGACCAACTATCTTGGCACTGCGTACCATCTCACGTGTACCGTGTACCACATCATATGTAACAGATGTGATCAACCTCTGTGGGTGTGTACCCCACGCCAGTGTAGTAGCCAGGGTCGTCCGCACGCCACGAAGTGAAGTGTCCCAACGTCATAGGGCGGGAAGCTGGGTGTGGGTGGTCTCGAAGAGTCGTTTGGATATTTGGTAGAGCTTGAACGGCCCCCCCACGAAGTGGGGGTATTGGCTGGTGTCGCAAGAAAACCCTGGCACTGGGGAGAACACTGAGCGTTCGGGTAAAATGATTGTTGTTGTTGTTGTTGTTGTTGTTGCTGTTGCTGTTGCTGTTGCTGTTGCTGTTGCTGTTGCTGTTGCTGTTGCTGTTGCTGTTGCTGTTGCTGTTGCTGTTGTTGTTGTTGTTGTTGTTGTTGTTGTTGTTGGTGGTGGTGGTGGTGGTGGTGGTGGTGATGGCTGTTGTTGATGATGCTGTGTTTGCTCTGGTTGATGTTATTGTTGTTGGTGTTGGTGGTGGTGGTGGTGCTGTTTGTTGTCGTCGTCCCACCCGCGACCACCCCGCGACCCACCCCGCGACCCACACCGCGACCCACCCTGTGACCCACCTCGCGACCCACCCCGCGACTCAGCCGCGACCCACCTGCGACCCACCCGCAACCCATTTGCGTTTTGCGACCCACCCGCGACCGATCCACATCAATTAAATGAAAAAATCGGCGCCTGCGGCGGGCTCGTTGTATAAATTGTAAAACTTCGGCGCCTGCGGCGGGCTTTTCCAGAGTCTCGTAGACCGCCGGCGTCCACACCGCTCCCTCACTCTTATCCACATCTGCGGGTTGGTGCGTTATTTCATCGCTTCGCTCACTCCGCCAGCCCATATTGATGGTGCAATATAATAGGGGCTCGATAGTGGAGGGGGAGCAGGACGAGGAGGAGGAGGGGGGAGGAGGCTGTGGAGGAGGAGGATGAGGAGGAGGAGGGAGGGAGGCCTCTCGACCGCCTCTTGGGTCGCGGACGCGAGGGTGTCTTGGCGGCATGTTTGGGACCCCAGTGATGGGCCTGTTTTCCACCACCACCACCACCACCATAAGTTGGAGCAGGAGGGGCTCCTCCTGCTCCTCCTCCTCCTCCTATTATTCGTCCTTCTCCTCCTCCTCCTCCTCCTCCTCCTCCTCCTCCTCGTCCTCCACCTCCTTCCCCCCTCCAACTTATGGTGGTGGTTGTGGAAAACAGGCCCATCACCCAGGGGCCGCCACGCGTGCGCGAACAAGAAAGATGTTGAGCACACCGGAGATTTTAGCAGGCCTCTGGCCTGTTGGGCCGGCGAATTCACGGTTCGCGTATCGCGACGCGCGAACATGAGTAGTTGCCCTAATTTGTGGTGAGATGCCGTACTGCGGTGCAGTTTCGTTCTCCACTGTCGCGGACACCCACACGCCCAGTGGCCTACCATCTTATTAGTCGGCGGCGAGCCCAGAAGGGAAGCGACGGGGGGGAAGCCTTCTCAGAAGGCGGTGGGGCGCCTCAGGAGTTCTCGACCCTTCTAAAGAGCCGTGTGCCTCTTCGGAGAAGGCTCACAAAGCTTCCCAGAAGGCGCGAGGGTCTATGACATACCCCCGCCGCCTTTCGAGAAGGCCTGCCCCCTCTCGCTTACCCCCTGGGGTTCGCCGCCGAGCTGAGGTCATACCGTGCGGGCTCCATTCGCTTCGGGGTGCCGCACACGTTCCGGTCCCTCTTCCAGCGGCACGATCCCCCCCGCGCCGCCGCCCCGCTGCCGTGCCCGCTGGGGGTGGTGATCGAGCCATCCACAACTCCGCCTACAGTCAAACACCCTAACAAGGACGCGCGACTTTGCTCAGGGAACCCTTGCGTCCTTGCTCTTCCTTGCTCTTGCGTCCTTGGGGTTTTCGTCGTCCGCCGCCCCAAAAATCCCAACGTCGGCTTCCAAGGGTCTTGCGTCCTTACCGCGCGTCCTTATTTGTGTCTTTGACTGTACGGCGCCATCGACTTCCGCCAAGGTCCGGGGCGGGGCCCCGACATAGCCCGCCCTAGCCGCGCAGTGTTACATTTCAGAGGACAGCACAACCCAATCCACCCCCCCAGCCAGGACCCCCACTCCCGACCAGGTGATTCAGGGGGTCGTGGCTGGGGGTGGTGTGTTCTTGTTGGGGGAGAGTTCTTTGGGGCCACAAAAAGAAACACCCGCACCCCCAACCAGGACCCCTGGATCACCATGTCGAGCGTGGGGGTACTGCCTGTGGTGTGGGGCGAAGAACATATCCGTATGCGCGGCCTCGCGGGCCGGGCCCCTGGGCCGCGACCCCGCGGATATTGCGAGTGTTCTTCGCCGATGCCCGCGCGGAACCTACCCGTGCAACCACGTATCCGCGGTGCCGCGCCCCGAAATCCAGCCAACGAGGGCGAGGATACGGATATGTCCGCCGTTCGTGATGGGCTTGGCACCGCTCGGACGTGTACTTTTTCTCTTGGCGAGTACCGTCGAGCCTGGATCACCTGGCAAAGAGAGCGCGCACGAAACCACGACACGCACGGGGAATGGACGTCCGAGCGACGGCAGGTGGGGGGTTGTGCCTTCCCTGAGATCCGACGTTGGAAAAAAAATGCAACACCGCAACAAAAACACGACCGGAGCCCTGGACCCCATCTTTCCGTGCCATCTCTCGAGCCGGATCGATCCGTGAGGGCCCCCGGGCCCGAAATTGAGCGAAAACGCCCGGTGTGATCAAATTGCAACGCCAGGACCTCAGGGTTCCTCACTCTCGAGCCGCTGCCGATCCACCCCGTGCCCTCGTGACAGGCCGCGCCCGCGGGGCGCCCTGCTCCCGCCCAACGCCTCGCCCGCCAGCGCCCGCCCCGCCCACGCCGCCCGCGAGCTGAGGAACCGCATGTGGCGGGAGGCCGTGCGCCAGGAGGAGGACCTCGGCCGCCGCCTCCTCCGCTGCCGCCGCCGCCGCCGCCTCCTCCTCCTCCTCGCCAGGAGGAGGACCTCGGCCGCCGCCGCCTCTTCCTCCTCGCCAGGAGGAGGTCCTCGGCCGCCTCCTCCTCCTCGCCAGGAGGAGGACCTCGGCCGCCGCCTCGCCTCAGTATCGTTTATCCGACACCCATCCCCATCCCCATCCCCTTCGAGACCCCTACCAAATTACCCCCCCAGTTGGGGATACGCCCCTCGAAACCCGAAGGGGACGACCTATCTCCCCATCTAGGGGGGCAAATCGGCCAGTGGGGCCCAGGCCACGCCGCAGGGGATGGGGATCGGTTGAACGATGCTCATCGCCCGCGCCCCCCCTTCGGCCAGAGGAGGGCCAGACGGGCCAGACTCGAGTTTCCATGTGTTCGGTGCTTTCGTCTGCCGTCGGCGGTTTTCCAGCCTCCTTCTTTGGGCGCGTTTACTAAACGACTTCGCGTGTCGGGGTGATGATTCTGGGGGCGGATTTTCTGCCTTCTAGTCCCCCCTCTCGACCAATCTTCTCGAGGTCCATCCAGTTCAGACCCGCTGGCCGCCTCCAGGGCCAGTCGGTACGACGGCAGCCGTCTCGTGGCCGAACAGTTTGGGTATCGCTCGGGCACGTGCAATTTGGTTTGCGCGGCGAGGCCAGCGCCAGAAAGGTCGTACCATCGAAGGGGCATTCTGGGTCACAGTGCTGGGGAGGGTCCGGGCCAGGCGCTGCTTGAGCACGGGCTTGGTGTGTATGGCGCACCCGCGCGCAGGCTCGCGCACTGCGCACTTGTGGCCTTGACGGTCACAGCGGCGCGGGAAGCCGAGAGCAGCGAGCGGCGACGAGAGGGAAGACCAGGAGGAGCAGCGGCCTGGGCTGCGAGGGCGACGAAGCGCAGAAAGGCGCGGCGAGAGACAAGGCAGAGGCGGGCAGCAGAGGAGAAGGGGGGCGAAGACACGCACACGCACACGCACACGCACACAGAGACACACACACACATACACACACGCACACACGCACACAGACACACACACACATACACACACACACATACACATACACACACGCACACACGCACACAGACACACACACAGACACACACACGCACACGCACACACGCACACACACAAACACACAAACAGACAAACACATACACACACATACACATACACACACGCACACACGCACGCATCCACACACACACACACGCGCGCTCTCTCTTTCTCTCTCGCTCGAGACGCCAGCCGCAGCCCTCGCCGCGCCCCGCGGGCCTCGCTCGCGCGGGGGCCGTGGCCGGAGGCCCCGCGGTGGCGGCGGGCGCCGGCCGCGCGCAAGTGCGCTGCCCGACGGGGTCGAGTCGGGCAGGCCGGACGGCTTCGCGGGCGAAAACGTATCTCGGGCGGGACGAAAGGGGGGGAGAGGGAAAGGGGGGGGTACGAAATCGGCTGCATGCAGCTGGTTTCGGCCCCACCGAGTGGCCCATTCCTCGATGCATGGACGCCTCCCAGCGCCGGGGGAAAATTAGCTACGTGAGCTGATTCTCAAACTTGCGCCCTGGAGTCCAGACCGCTAGGGCGCGGATGCGGATATGCTTGCCACTCGTCACGGTCGAAGTTCCTCGGTGCGGCTCTTGTGCTCTCGGTCTCTGGTTGCGAGGCTACTATGGGCCGATCTGGCCAGCGACGGTGCGCTTGTACAAAGGGCACCCGCTGGTCGACAAAAGCCTGTATGCCTAGGTTCGCACATCGCAGCACAGTGACGGCGAATTTCTGAAGAGTCGAACGGGTTTCCCTCTGCCTCCCTCTTCAGGGGGCTGGGCGGCAACGCCACACGAGCGACGGGCAGAAGCGGGGTCGACTCCGCGGACAGCCGCGCGCAGGCCTCCCGCACAAGGCCGCGCGCGAGCCTCCTCGCTTCCGGTATGGAGTGCCGCGCTGGTGGCCCGTGCAGGCCGCCGCGTGAGGTCGCTACGCCAGCGCGCGTAAGGCCGGCCTCTCGTCGTCGCACATCTGTTCTCGACGCGCTCTTCGTTTCGGGGGCGGCAAAGACGGGGGTGACGACTAGGGGGGGTGGATATCATGGCGGGGGCCATGATATCTCCCCAGATTTCATGGCGCCTCTTCTTATTTCATTGCGTCCCTGGTCCCCCCGCTGGGCCGCGCACATGCCGCCGGTCATGATTTGCACCCCCCCCTCTTGGACACCCCCCTCTTGGCCGCTCCCGATAGTTGATGCCTTCTACACATCTCTTCCGAACGATGGGTTACGGAAGCGTTGCCCCTGCACGCGCGCAGCAGGCCACGCCGCTCGTGGGTCCGCGGCCGCAGGCGGACGGGCGGCGGTTGAGCAGCGGCGGCGCGGGCCGGGCAAGAATCGGCAGAGCAGGGGGCGCGGGGCGAGGGCGCCACGGGGGGGCAGGAGGAGGAGGAGGAGGAGGCGGAGGAGGAGGAGGAGGCGGAGGAGGAGGAGGAGGAGTCCCGGAAAGGGAAGGCCACGCTCAGGCCACGAAGGTCTTAAGGGGGGGCGTACCGCAGAAGGAGCGCAGCAAGCGGGAGTGCCAGCACACGAGGCCCAAGAGGGCGGCACCAGCGAACGCCCACGGGCATGTCGAGGATGAGGGCTGCGGCAAGTTCATGCGGCGTGGGCGAGCCGGCGACGCCGGCGAAGGCGTTCGAGGCGTCCAGTGTCGTTACCAAGTCCCTCGCGAGGGACTTGGTAACGACACTGACCCGACGGAATTCAACCTTGAACGATCGGGGCCGAACGATCGGGGCCGCGATCGATTCAAGATTGAACGATCGACGCGGTGTCAAAAACCTTTGCGCGCGCCGACGCCGCACGAACCTACCGAAGGCCGGCGCGTCCAGGATCCAAGAACCGTGCGGTGACAGACCGCGCGGTGGGGCCGTTGGGGATTCCGAGGTCACCACGTGGTCCGTCACCGCGCGGTGTTGGCGACCTTGGCCAGAGGGCCGCCCTTCTCCGGCGTGGCTGCGGCTCGAGAGAGGGGCCGTCCATGTCCCCAGGGCGTGCGTGCACGCGTCCCGGTGCCTGTGCGAGAGCGCGCCTCCTGCGGCTCCTGCGTCGCTGGCCTCGCCCTGGGCTGGGGTCTCCTCGGCGCCGCGGTGGGCCTCGGCCTCGGTCGCTGGCCGGCGGCGCGCGGGCGTGCTGGCCAGCGAGGTCGGGGTCCTTCGGGGGGCGGGGCCATCGGGGCGGTGCTGCGGCGGGAGGCCGCGGCAGCACGCGCCCCGGAGGCGGTCTTTCGCGGCGGAGGCCGCTCGGCGTGGGCGCAGCGCGCGCGCCGCCGTGCCCGCGGGCGAGGGCTCGGACGAGTCGTACACGACGGCAACGACGACGACGACGACGACGACGACGACGACGACGACGACGACGACGACGACGACGACGACGACGACGAGCCGCGGGCTGGACGACGGCGACGACGACGACGAGCCGCGGGCTGGAGGACGGCGACGACGACGACGGCGACGACGACGACGACGCTGCATCCCCCCTCCCATCTCCTCCTCGGCTCCCACCCCCCGTCGCCTCTTTTTGGCGGCTTCTGCAAGGGGGTGGCGCGCGGAGGGCGGGCTTCCAAGAGGGCGTGGGGGCGTCTCAGGCGGGGCCAGCTCAGCGGGGGCCGGTGGCTTCTGAGAAGCCTTCGCCTTCCAAGAAGGCCCGCCGCCTCTCAGAAGCCCACCCCCCTCGCGCCACCCCGCACATGGACGCTTCCAGGGACCGTTCCCTCATCACGGTTTGCCTCGTCGCCGCCGTCGTGGTCGCCGTCGCAGTTGTTCTCGTCGTCGTGTTTCTTGGCCGCCCCGCCTGGCGAGGAGCTCTGGGGCGCTCTCGAGATCCAGCGGACCTGGAGGGGCTACCTCGGCCGCGTCAGGTGGGAGAACCAGTACGAGGTGGGCTCGTCGTCCTTCTCCGTATCCTCTTCTCACGTTGTTCCTCCTCATCACGTCTCCTCGTCCTCAACCTACAATGCACCACATAGCTTACACCACATAGACCGCACCACAAGGATTGCTCTGCAGATATTGCACGACATGGCTCGCCCACCATTCATCGCACCACATAGATGGCACCTCATAGCTTACACCACACGGCTCGCACCACATAGAAGACTACGCTGACTCCTACCACACATTTTGCATCACCTAGTATGCTAGAAGACACCAGGTTTGGTCCGCGCTGGCTCACGTCCGCTTCTTCGCCTTACTTCGCCGCATCCACTCCTCGTCCTCGTACTCGTCCTCCTGCCGCTCCTGCTCATGCTCCGCGACGGCGCCCTGTGCTCGCACGGCGGCTCCGGTGGCCGGTGCCGAGCTGGGTGCCGCGGGAGAAGCGCGGAGCGGCCTCTTCGTGCCCACCTGGACGAACAAGCCTCGCATGCTCATGCCGGGGGGCAGGAGCAGTTCTACTGTACTATGTCCTGTCCGTCCACCCTTTTGGATGGCAAATGGCGGCCCAAACACTGTGCATATGCGCTTGTTTTAATGCCTGGCGCCCGGAGGACCATCAGAAAGGTTTTCACCATCCGTTGTCTTGTGGCGCTCCTGGGAAGCCCCATGTGACAGGGCCCAGAGATCTCAGTGCATATTCGCGTGGCTCCCATCACGCTCCTGCTCCTGCTCTTCTCGGCGAGGTGAGCCCAGCTTGGCTCCGCACGTCTTTCCTCAAAGATGCGTGCCAGCCAGGAACCCAAACAGTTTGTCAACTGCACTGTGGATGCCCAAGCGATGGGGTGTACGATACGTGTTGTAAGCGTGTAAGCATTGTGGTGCAGTCGATGTAGTGCAAGCTGTGTGGTGCAAGCTTTTTGTCGTGTAGGTGCACGCTATGCGGCGCAAGCTCCGTGCAAAGCATGTTGCTGCTCCTTCCACCTCCCCCTTCCTCCTTGTCCCCCTCGTCCCCTCTTCCATCCCCGTCCTCGTCATCCTCCCTCCCCTCCCTCTCCCCCTTTCCTCGCCCTTGCCTCGGACGTGCAGGTGCTGCCCCCCCCCTCCCCAGCCCGACGGAGGCCGTGTGGCTCCGGGAGATCAAGGCCGCGCACCTCCAGCGGGTGATCAAGGGCTTCCTCGCGCGCAGACGGGTCCGGGCCCCGCTGCGCCACGCCCTGCCGTGCGCTGGCCTCGCGGCCAGCCGCCGGCCGCCGCCGCAGACCCGCCGGCCGCGGCCGCCGCCCGCTCGCCGCCGCTGCCTCGCCGAGCCGCGGCCTGGGGGCGCCCAGGCCGCCGTCGCCGCGAGAAACTCGAGGCGGAGCTTTTGGTCACTCGGCCTCCAGGGGAGGCGGCGTGTCTCGGAGGAGGAGGAGGAGGTACCCCTACGACCACCCTTGCCTCGTTGTCCCCTCTTCGGCCCTCCTGCAGGAGGCCCTCGTCGCCACCGCTGGATTCGCCTCGAGATCCTGGTCAGAGCGCACCGCAGGAGAGGTCCGGGGACTAGCGGTATCGGTTCTTTGGGTTTCCCCTCAGAACACGAGTCAGCATGTCGCGGGGGCTCCCCGGCCACCACCGTGTCAATGTCGAGCTACACTGTCGATGCATCGCTCTTCCTTGGATTCGCAGTGTTCTTGTTCTTTAACAGTTGTCACGTGTACACTGTCAACGCCGCTCTTTCCTGTGGCTTGTTGTGTTCCTGCTCGCAACGCACGCTGCTGTAGGCGGCGGAGAGCTTGAGATATCCATATACAAACATGGGCTCCAAGAATTCTGACGCCTCGAGAAACTCAATGCGGAGTTTGTTTCTCAGTGTTCGGCCTCTGGGGGCAGTCAAACGGCGACTCAGCATGAAGAGCCCGCAGACCTCCGTAATGACACCATGACATTGCGGTATATTTCAGGTCATCGGTTGTTAGGCTTATCCTTCAACATGTGGGTGTTCTCTCCTGAGGCATCTGCAGAACAATACCCCAAGATCCCTGATGTTTTCTGCCCCCCTAACTTAGGTCCCCTCTCCGTCGCAAGATGTCTCAGTGTGTCTCTGTGTTAGGGGAACAAAAAGTGGCATAAACATAACAACTCGGAGGTCCGCGCGGATTTCTCGGATCGGCGCTGGACCCCCCTCCTTGGCGCGCGGAGCGCGCCAGGGGCGGCGCCAGAGGCGCCGCCGGGGGGGCCCCAGCGCCGATCCGAGAAATCCGCGCGGACCTCCGAGGTTTTATGTTTATGTCACTTTTTGTTCCCCTGTGTGTGTCTCTGTGTGTCTGCGTCTCTGTGTGTCTGCGTGTCTGTGCGTCTCCGCCGTGCTGCCCCTCGCCGTGTGCAGGAGCTCCAGCCGTCGGATGTCTGGGCCCTGCGCCTGGCGTGTGGCGGCGAGCCGAGGAGGGCGCACGGGGCCTCGGGAGAGGGGTGCCACCCTTCGCCCGTGGCCGGGCGCGACCGTCCTCGTCCTCCTCGCTCTCCTCCTCCTCCTCCTCCTCCTCCTCCTCCTCCTCCTCCTCCTCCTCCTACACCTCCTCGCTCCTCCTCGCTCCTCCTCGCCGTCCTCCTCCTCCCCCTCGTCCTCGTCCTCCTCGCTCTCCTCCTCCCACCTCCTCCCTCCTCCTTGCCCTCCTCCCCCAGCTCCCCTCATCGGCTCCGTGCACCCCCACCGCGGGCAAGCTTAGGTCGACTGACCTCCAGACTGGGTCTGATGGGACATGGCTCTGCCCGAGCTTGGCCACCGGTGGATCCATGGCACCCCCCATGCTAGCTACCGGGGGTCGCCGCGAACCGGGAACACCAAGTCCCCCCCCCTCGCCCCTCCCCTCTGGTGGAGCGTTGCTCCCGGAGCGCCTGGGGCGTGGGGGGGGGCGGCGGGAGGAGGGGGGTCGGGGGCAGAGCCTCGCGCGCACGCACACGCATGGCCCACCCCCCCGACCCAGAGCCAGGGTGCATGGCGTCCTTCTTCCTGCACGTCGGGGGTCGCGCGCCACGGTACGCCCGAGCACGACGCGCGAACACGACAGCGTAGTTGCGCCAGGGGGGCATTCACGGCCCAGGGTGGCTTGGGAGCTGCGAGCGCCCGCACAGGACGGAAGGCAAGAGGAATGGGCGGGAGGACAGTATGGGAGGTGGGGGGTCAGGAGGGAGGATGGAGGAGGCGGGGGAGGAGGAGTTGGAATGAGCGGCGAGCGGCGAGGGATGATGGAGGAGGAGGGGGTGGTGGAGGAGGAGGGGGAGGAGGCGGTGGAGGAGGAGGACACCGACGACGGCGACGACGAGGGCGACGACGACGACGCCGGGCGGCCCGCAGGTCGAGCGGACGAAGCGCCGAATAGCGCGCGCGGAGTTCGAGCGCGCCCGCCTGCGCTTCAGGGCCGCCCAGCGCATCCAGGCGGGTGGGGAGGGCATGGAGGGAAGAGGATTGAGGATCGCCGAGGGGGGGAGAAGGAGCACGAGGGGGAGAAGAGGGCAGGAGGATGGCGGGAGGGGGAGGCGGGAGAGGGGAGGAGGAGGAGGAGGAGGAGGAGGAGGAGGAGGAGGAGGAGGAGGAAAGTGCTGCTGTCTCCCTCCCATTTCCGCCCTCCGCCGGATCGAGATCGAGGATCGACGGTCGCGGTTTCGGGAAATTGGTCTTGAGGGAAGCGGGTCCTACATACTAATTTCAGTCGAGGTGCAACAGATTCTTCCAGATCAGCGGTCATTGCTGTGTCCTGCGTTTCGCGTCTCATGTCCTCTGCATGCCCTTGGCAATGTGGCTCTCGGAAGGGTCTTCTGTCCTCCTGCGTGTCCTCTCTAATCATGCTCGACTCAAGGCCCCAGGGCGTTCCCCAGGACCACTTCTTCGTCTGGAGAATGTTGTTTGCGGTCCCGGGGCCTGCAGCTGGCGAGAAATGTCCAGAGCCCTTTTCCTGCAGGACCCGTTTTGTTCCCCGCATGCTAAGTAAGTGGGTGTCTCGATTTCTATGGACATCCCGCGCGCAGCCCTCTCCCTTCCCGCCGCCCCCCCCGGCCACATCATCATCAGCATCAGCAGCATCATCAGCATCAGCATCAGCATCAGCATCAGCATCATCATCAGCATCAGCATCAGCATCAGCATCATCATCATCATCATCATCATCATCATCATCATCATCATCATCATCATCATCAGCATCAGCATCAGCATCAGCATCAGCATCAGCATCAGCATCATCATCATCATCATCATCATGTCATGTACCCGGCCCTCACGATGTTCGACATCAAGGCTGCTTTTCCTACCTTGATCTGGTCTTGGATCTTCTTTGTTTTGGAGACTGCTGGGTTCCCTGGATTTCTAATCCAGGTCTTACGGAAGCTCTATCAGGATTGCCGTGCTCACTTTCGTCTGGGTGGTTCGCATGGGAGGTGGTTCTTGATTTACGCGGTGTTCGCCAGGGCTCTCCTGCGTCTGGCTCATTATTCGCCAACGTCTTCGACCCGTTTGTCCGCCTCTACCTCCACCTCCTTGACCCGCATCTCTGTTTAATTGTGTCTTACGCCGACGATCTTGCCATGGGGCTTCGTGATCTGTTCTCCCATCTAGCGCTGTCGGTTCCCGCTCTGAAGCTGATGGTTGCTGCCGCCGGTCTGTGGATCCACCCCGGCAAGACGGTAATCGTTTGGTTTGGCGGTCTCAGTTTGGATGCGGTGCGGTCCCGCATCGCCGCTGAAGTGGGATATTTTGCCTCAGCCAAGGTTTTGCTATCTGGAGTGCTGCTCGGCGTCACGCTGGAGGACAACGTCTGCACGTTGAGTTGGTTGAAGCCTGCGGCGAAGTTCTGGCAGACGATCGTCCCGCTCAAGCAAGTGAGGGGCGGCTGTTGCAAAGCCATGCGAACTATGAATTGCTACGGCACTCCGATTCTCAGATTTGTTTGTTCTTTCTACCTCCCCTCTCCTGCCGCTTTGAAGATATTTTCCAGAGCCGGGCAAGTATCGTCTGGCTCGCCTCAGCATGCGATCTCTCCTCGTGCGATGTCGGCTCTGAGCGGTTCTGGGCTCCCTGAGTTGCCCCGCCTTGAGCTTCTTTCGCGCGCTGCGATATTCCGTACTTCAAGTTACGTCGGACACCGATGTGTTTGGGGCTGTATGTCGTGATATTGACCGCCTCTGGCTCGATGACGAGCGGTTTCTTTGGCCGGTCCGCATGCGTGGATTCAGTCTTCTGCCATGTACCAGGCGAGCGCGGTCCACGACTCGCTGAATTCGATATCCCAGTTTTGGAGTATGTCCGAACAGTCTTCCAAGCAATTGTACAGGATGCTGCACAGCGACAGGCTCCAGGTAGCAGTCTCCGTGATATGATCGGTGCCAGGCTTGAGAGATGGTCCCTGGTCCCTGCCCTCCCTCCTTGTGCCCCCGCCCTCGTGGTTGCCCGCCTCCGGACTCTCAGCCGTAAGGTCAAGCCTGGGATCGTCTTTCATTTAATGGGCACGATTTGTAACGGCTGGCATACGCCCGCACGTGTTTCGACGATCATCTCGCCATGTAGATTCTGCGGCAGTGTAGGCGGTGACAAACTGCAGCACCATCTTGAATGCCCCATTGTTTTGAGTTTTGTCAACGAGTTAATGCTCTTCGGTGGGCGCCTGACGGTCCACCCATGTTCGTGAAGAAGTGGTGGCTTGCTGTGCACCTCAATCACACTTAAGATAGTTTGATTCAAGCTGCCTTGGTCAATGAGGCGGTTAGGGGGGTGTTTCAACATGCCAGAACGTCACAGACGGTGTACCCTACCGCCCTGTGGATTTCTCATTTCCGCTCGAGACTTCGCGCGATCGCTCGCTTGGATTCTCGGGTTCGGCACTTCGTACACGAACTGCTCAGGTAGGTGCGGTGTGCGTCTCAGTCGTGATGCATTCCGCTTCTGCGTCCAAGTCGTGATGCGCTACTTTGCGACACAGTCCGCCATGCGCTCCATGTTTCGCTTCTTTGTTGTCCTCCGTCTCTTCTCTCAAGCCGCGGCGCGGCAATACACTAACGGTTGCCATGCTACTGGCCAGCCGGCGCCTGTCCTCCTGCCCTCTGCCCCCCTTTCTCCTTTCTCCTCTTCGTTGCTTACCTCGCGCTCCAGCTGCCACTTTACATTGTGCGTCTCCTGTCCTTTACTTTCTAATGCCGCTTCTCTTCCAGTCGCAGCATGTGGAGGAGACCTCGTGCAGTGGAGCATTTGACCATCATCATCACCAACATCATCCTCAGCATCAACATCAGCATCATCATCCTCATCCCCATCACCATCACAACCACCATGCACCACCATCATCATCATCAGCATCGTTCTTCATCCTCATCATCACCATCATCACCATCATCGTTCTTCATCATCATCAGCATCGTCATCATCCTCATCATCATTCATCCACCTCATTATCAGCTTTATCAACATCCTCGTGACCGCCACCATCACCCTCTATACTCACTCATTTTACCACCACCATCACCATCGTCTCACACGTCCTCACGCACTGATTAACACTCTCACTCGTATTTACACGCTCACACGTTCAGATTGAGGAGCTCTCGAGCGGGAGCCTCGCCTGTAATTGAGTGATGGGGAAGTTTTTGGCGGGCGCCCCCTGACCCATGATGCTGCCAGATCATGTCAGTAATCCGGGCGGGCCCTCCGAATTGTGTCACTATCGTCGTTTCGGGGCTCCTGAAGCGTGGGTGTGGACGAGGTCCCGAACGGGAGCCACGTTTGTGAGCGGCTTGTGCGGAGGTCTCAGACGGGAGTTCTGTCCCCCATGGGGCCGCGAGATCACGTCAGCAATCCAAGCGGATCACCCAGATTCTATATTTGTCGTCCCTTTGGGGCTCCTGAGGCGTAGATTTCGAAGTCTCGAGCGGGAGCCTCGTCTGTGAGTGACTCGTGCGGAAGTCTCAGACGGGAGCCCCCTTCCCTATGGGGACGCCAGATCATGTCAGTAACCAAAGCGGCCAATTCAGATTCTAGATTCGTCGTCCCTTCTGGGATCCTGTGGCGTGGATCTAAAAGTAGTCTCGAACGGGAGCGTCGTCTGTGATTGAATGATGCAGTTTTTGGCGGGACCCCCATCTTTCTGGGTTTGTTGTCAGATCATGTCAGTAATCCGAGCGGGGCATCCAGATTGTGTAATTGTCTTCAAAGTTTGGCTCCTGTGGCGTATATGTGAAAGTAGTCTCGAGCAAAAGCGTCGTCTGTGAGTGAATCGTGGGGAAGTTTTTGGCGGGAACCCCCCATGTCTGATATTGACACATCGTGTTAGTAATCCGAGCGGTTCATCCAGATTGTCTACTCCAGATCTCGTAATAGAGGGAGGGGGGTCTCATTTCGGGGGGGGTCTCCTCCAGGCTATCTTGGAGGGCCTGGGGGGTCTGGGGACGATGTTTTGGAGGGTTCTCCCACGGGGGAGGTCTGAAATGGCTTGTCTTGGAGGGTCCAGACCTCCTCCCTTTTATTACGACATCTGGAGTAACTGTCTTCAAATTTGGGCTCCAGCGGCGTCGATTTGGAAGTAGTCTCGAGCGGGAGCGTCGTCGTGCGGGGTCCTACCGTCGGAGTACCTGTCATGCGAAGGGGACACGGGCGAGGGGGGGACAGGAAGAGGGGCACCACTACCGCGAGGACGACGACGGAGCTACTTCAAAACAGCTTGGGAGGATTTGTCGTGCGGGGTCCTACCGTCGGAGTACTTGTCATGCGAGCGAGAGGGAAGGGGGGGGGGCGAGGTCCGATGATTGAGGGTCGATGCTTTGGACACGGGTCGTCCTCGTCGCATCGGCGCCCGCCAGCATTCGATGTCGCCGAGCACATCCCGGCGAGAGGCGGAGGGAAGATCGAGGATCGAGTATCGCTTGGGGGCGTGATCGTGGTGAGCACATGTGCTCGGTCCTGGCGCTTGTCTCAAATCCGGCCCCGCCGAGGCCTTAGGACCACCATGTATCGGGCCGCGATGAAACATTGTCCCCCGAGGAGGGGTCTGGACCTGGGGGGCCCACGCTTTCAGCAAGTCGCGACGTCGGGGATCTGGGGGAGGGGAGTGAGGGGATGGGGGATCATGGGGGTCACGGGCAGGGGGAGGCAATGAGGTGAGGGGGTGCGTGGTCGCCCCCCCCCAATCCTCCTTATCGCCCCTCCTCCATCATCCTTACCCTCCCACTCTCCCCTTTCCCCTCCTCTTCTCGCCCGTCTTCCATTCCCGAACCATTCCCACCTCCCCCTTCATCCTCCTTCCCCTCTCGTTCATCCTCTTCGCAACCTCTCCTTCTGCTGTTCCTTCCTGCTCCTCCCTCTGTGTCCGCTACTTTCATCCATCCTCCCTCGTCCATTCTTCTCCGTCCATCATCCTCGTTCATTCTTCTCCGTCCATCCTCCTCCCCCCACCTCCTCTCCAATTCCCAACATGACTACTCTCCTCTCTCCCCTGACTCTGTCCGGAAAATGCCCCACCCTCTCCGCGTAGACAAAATGATCCTGGCGAAGACCCAACCACATAGAGTTGTGAGTACCGCAGTGGTGCGTATCATCTTCGGTGGAGCTCCCTTTGGGGCCACGAAACGTGTGAGGGGAGTGCCGAAACGGGTGGCGGGGACGCATGCGGACCCTGCCACTGGGGCCTTGAGTGGAGCTCCTTACGGGGCCACGAGCAGTGTGAGAGAAGTGCCACAGTGTGCGTCGGGCGCATGCGGTCCCTGCCACTGGGAGCTCCCTATGGAACCACGAGCCGTGTGACGGGTGTGCTAGAGTGGGTGATGGTGATGATGATGATGATGTTGATGATGTTGATGATGGTGGTGGTGGTGGTGAGGTGATGATGATGATGTTGTTGCTGATGCTGATACTTGTGATTACGGTGATGATACTGATGCTGGTGTTGCTGATGATGATAATCATTGTGTTGATGCTGATGTTGATGATAAGGTTAATGTTGATGATGCTGATGATGAGGCTGATGCTGATGCTGATGATTGCGATGTTGATGATGATGATGATGCTGATGGTGATGATGATGAAGATGCTGATAATGATGACGAAGATGCTGATTAGTATGATGACGATGATGATGCTGCTGCTGAGGCTGCAGCTGATGATGATAACGATGAGGAGGAGGAGGAGGAGAAGGAGGAGGAGGGCGCATGCGGTCCCTGCCACTTGGAGCTCCCAATGGAACCACAAGCCGTGTGACGGGTGTGCTGGAGTGGGTGATGGTGATGATGATGTTGATGATGATGTTGTTGGTGCTGATATTGATGTTGATGATGATGGTGATGATGATGATGATGCTGATGATGATGATGATGATATGTATGATTATGTTGATGCGGATGTTGATGGTGATGACGATGCTGTTGATGATGCTGATGATGAGGTAAACGATGGTGTTGGTGATGATGATGGCGATGATGCTGATGATGCTGCTGATGAGTTTGATGTTAATGACGATGATGATGATGCTGACGATGATGATGATGATGATGATGATGATGATGATGATGATGATGATGATGATGATGGTGAGAGTGATGGTGAAGGTGATGGTGATGATGAGGCTGATGCTGCTGATGATGATGATGATGATGACAATGATGATGACTATGATGATGACAATGATGATGACAATGATGATGATGATGATGATGATGATGATGATGATGATGATGATGATGATGTTGATGATGCTGATGCTGATGCTGATGCTGATGCTGATGCTGATGATGATGATGATGATGCTGATGATGATGATGATGATAATGATGATGATATTTCCCACACGAGGAGAAAGGACGCAGGGTGATGTCTCTCCAACACGAGGATCAAACACCACATGATTGTTTGGAAGGCAGGATTTGGCAAACGTTCGGTGTTTCAATGACAGTTTTGCAATCCGATGCAAAGTTGTGTTCCGACAGCATCGTTGGCCTCGTTTTCGGATCGCCGCTTTGCTCCTGTCGTTCAGAATTGTGCTCTCGCTCAAGCGCGGGACACTTTTTTTGATCCCTCATCATTTCCCTCCTACACCTTCCCCCAGCCCTTCTTCTCCCGCTCCTTCCGCTCCAGCTGTTGTTGTTGCTGCTGCTGCTGCTCTTCGTCCTCGTTATCCTCCTTCCTTCTCGTCCTCACTTTCCTGCTGCTCGTTGTCCTGCTCATCCGCCACGTCCCCCTCCAACGTTCGCAGCTCCCTTTTTCTGATTGCGCATAACACAATGACGTCCCCTTTGGAGTTTCAGGTCCGCGATGGCACGCTTTGGCGGATGAGAAAAAACAGCGCAATGGAGAAGGGATGGGTTGGGAGGGGTAGGATGTCAGATATGGCGCGAGCGTTCCCAGCTTGTCCGCCTTCCCTTCTCACTCCACTGCTTTTAGCTCCCTCCCCCCTCTGGTTTGTCGATGTCTCGGCTTCTCGTCCGTGGCGCTGGCGCGCGGATTGGCTGGGAGAACGCTCAGGAGGATTTTGCCCAGCAAGGGCAGAGATCCGCCAGCCGCTCCTACCCCCCCCCTTGAGGCCCGACGTGGCGAAACAATTGCAACATCGCGAGTCTAGAACACGACCAGAGCCCCCGACCCCATTGGAGCAGTTTTCGGACCGGATCGATCCGTGGGGGTTACCAGGGCCCGAAACCGGGCGAAAACGCCTAGCGTGCGAGATTTGCGACGCCCGGATCTCAGGGTCCTCCGCCCCGCCCTCCATCCACCCAGCCCCCCCCCCGCCGTCCGCCGCGCCAGGCGATGGCCCGCGGCGCGTTGGTCCGCAGGTCCTTCCAGCGCAGGCGCCGCTCCCGGCCGCCTGAGGAGGACGAGGAGGATGAGGCGGAGGAACGCGAGGAGGAGGAGGAGGAGGAGGAGGAGGAGGAGGAGGAGGAGAAGGCCGAGGAGGAGGAGGCGGAGGATGAGGAGGAGAAGTAGGGCGAGGAGGAGGAGGAGGAGGAGGAAGGCGAGGATGGCCTTCTCGATGATTGCGAGTGTGCGTATTCATCCGTATATCAGTGGTTGTTACAGTCGTTGAACTTTGCAGACTGTTCATACCGCTCTTGTGGGAGACGGGAGCATGGGTGGTGGCGTAGGTGGTTGCGGCGCCACACACCCAATTCTGGAGGCGCGAGGAGGAGGAGCGGGAGGAGGAGGAGGAGGAGGAGGAAGAGGAGGAAGAGCAGGAGGAAGAGCAGGAGGAGGAGGAGGAGGAGGAGGAGGAGGGGGCAGTAGGGAGGAGGAGGAGGAGGAGGAGGAGGAGGAGGAGGAGGAGGAGGAGGAGGAGGAATGTGGCCTTTCCCCTGTGCCTGTGACACCGTTGCTTCACCAGTTCCACCCTCCTCCCCCTCGCCCTTCTTTTACGGCACGAGGCCCCCTCCTCTCTTCCTTCCTCCCCTTGTTTGTCTGTGTTTCTTTTACCAATTACAGATAGCCGCACCTGGCATTAGTTCGATCAAACCCCGCAGGGCCGACCGGCCCTGGGGCGGGGAGGGCGTCGTCCGTACGACTCTTTCGCCATCAGATTACCGGAAGATCAGGAGGAGGAGGAGGAGGAGGAGGAGGAGGAGGAGGAGGAGAAGGTCGAGGAGGAGGAGGAGGAGAAGGTCGCGGAGGAGGAGGGGGAATAGTTAGGAGTTGGAGGAGTTGGAGGAGGACGGAAGACGACGACGCCGCCGACCGCCACGGAGTTCGGGGCACCGCCGCCGAGCTCTGCCGCCGGGCGCTGGCGGGAGCCATTAGGCCCCGCCAGGCCCGAGTGTGTAAGGGGGGGTGGTCGTTCGCGGCCGAAAGTCGGGGTCGCTCCCTGCGCTCTGTGGCCTCCTGCCGCCCCGCGTTTATCATACGAGGAGGAGGAGGAGGAGGAGGAGGTTCCGATACCGCTATCCATCGGTCGTTGAACGTCGGTGTTTTTTTGTTGATCCCCAGGTTCCAAACTAATTTTGTTTCTTCTTCTTCGAGGGGTGGGCGTAGACCCAATCTGCTTCCAACCTCTTCCTATTTCGTTGTTCTACCTACTTCTTCCGACCGACGGGTACCGATACTGCTAGTCTTCGCCCATTCCCCCATGTTGTCGGCACCCATGGGATGCCCTCGTCACAACCGCTGGATTCGCCTCGAGATCTGGTCAGAGCGCACCCCAGGAGAGGTCTGGGGAGTAGCCGTATCGGTATCCTTCGGTTGCCCCCCCTTTCTCCTCCCTCTCCCCCTGTCCCCAGACATGTTGTCGTTGTCCCAAGATCTCGGCGGGAGGTCTGTTGGCTGGCGTCGGCTTCCAAGGGCCCTCGCCGTGCCCTGCGACCGTCAGACAACGATTCGGGATCAACCGGCCCCGGGGAAAGGGTCGGGATTTTCAGGGACTGCGTATGGAACCACATCTGGACCTCAGCCGTCTCGGTCCAATCCCCACTTCACCTCCCTCTTATCCTCACTTCTGTCCTCTTCCCTCTCGTGTGCCTCCCCTCCCTCTCTCCCATCCCTCCTTTTCGGAGGCCGCCGGATGTCATAGAAGTAGGAGGAGGAGGAGGAGGAGGAGGAGGAGGAGGAGGAGGAGGAGGAGGAAGAGGAGGAGGAGGAGCAGCAGCAGCAGCAGCAGCAGCAGCAGCAGCAGCGGCAAGGAGATACTCAGGAGGAGGAGGAAGGGAAATCAGGACGAGGCTCGGATGAGAAGGAGGACGAGAATGAGGAGGTAGGAGGACGAGGAAGTGGATCGAGACGAGGGGGATGAAACGGTGAAGGAGGGGGAGGAGGAGGAGGAGGAGGAGGAGGAGGAGGAAGAGGAGGAGGAGGAGTTTTTGGGAGGATGGGGGCTGATGCGCAGGTGATCGGGGGCCATGGGGGGATGAGGAGGGGGAGGAGGAGAAACGGAGGGAGGAGAGTTAGTAGAAGGAGGGCGAGTCGGAGGAGGAGAAGGAGTTTGGGAAGGAGGGAAAGACGACGACCTTGCCGCCGCTGGCCAGGTTCGTGCGCTGCGCGCGCGCGGTGGTGACGATTCAGCGCTTCTGGCGCGGGCATTTCCTGCGCGCCAACCTGTGGCTGGAGGCAGTGCCGCCTGCCGCCTGGGCTGGCCCGTTCTCGAGGAGGAGAAAGGAGGAGAAGGAGGAGGAGGAGAAGGAGGAGGAGGAGGAGAGGGAGGAGGACCAGTGTAAACCCACGAGCCTTCAACGATGTTGGAATAAACCCTTCCTCCAGGCTCCCTCGTCATAAGCCCCATATAAGGATGCATCTCCACTGAGGGAACTGCCTCGTTGGAAGACAATCGTTTGGAGACCCTGACGCATGCAACGCCACGGATCAACCTGACTGTTGCGTCTCGACGATCCTGAATCGTGCCAGAATGTCATTCCTGGAATTTCAACCTTGCGAATCAACATAATGTCCAAAACCGGTTTTAAACACATGATGACCCCCACCCTCCCCCCCCCCCGGATCCCGACTGCCATTAATTCGCATCCGAATAACTGTTTTTTATGTGTCCCCCTGGGGAAAATCCATGGATGCTGATCGATGCCACTTGTATATACCTCGGTACCAGGGAGAATGCTGATGTGACATTGTAGCTTGGTGTAGCCCCTTCTGTCTGGCCGCCTAGCCTGGAGGGCGCGCCAGCCCTCGTTGTAACCTGGTGTAGCCCCGCTTGCGTGGCCCAGAGGGGGGACGGCCTTCATCATATCCTGGTGTAGCCCCGCAAATTTGGCCCAGAGGGCGGTGCAACCTTCGCTGTAACTTGGTGTAGCCTTGGTGCGGCATCGAACTGATCGGTTTGCTGAGGGCCTTTCTGACCTGGAGGACGATCCGGCCCTCCTCGTAACCCGGTCTAGCCGCCTCTCTCCTGTCCTGTTGTTCCACTCTGCCTCCGCTCCCCTCCGCCTCGACTCCCCGCCTCCGAAAACAAACGTTAATTGCATAACAGGTTCATCACATGTCGCCGGTCTGATGAGGCCATCTTGAGCCAACTTGGACCATATTGCGCCATGTTGGAGGCCATCTTCAAGTACTTCTGGCCCTCTCGGCACCAGAGGGCGTGCGCAAGGGATGGTCCCCAAGTGCGGTCTCTTTCCACGCCAGGCTCGGGCGTGTCAGGCGTGGCTTGTTCGCAACCCAGACAGGGTGCGCGGTGCGCAGGCAGTGGTCCCTGAGCGCCGTCTGTATCCACGCTGGGGTCGCAGGGCGTGGCAGGCGCGGCCTGACGACAAAAGGGGGTGCGCAGAAATCTGCCCCTGCACGCAGGGCGCCAGGGCGGTCGCGGGGACGTCTCCAGCGATCCAGTTTGCCCTTCCCTTTTGTTTTCCATAGGCGCACTACAGCGCTGGGGAGAACCATGTTTTGAGCTGTCTCCGCAAAATGATTGTTCAGACAGTTTTTAGACATTATTTGTTGCGCCCTCATAGCGCTGAGTTTTTCCGAAACCATTTCTGGTACGCTGGCCATGGGCATCCGTGAAACTCTTTTAATCTTCAGGAATGGTATGTTCGCGGCGCTAAGGCGAGAGCCACAGTTTGAAAAGGAACCGCCCTCAATCCACGAAGCCATTCCAATTGGTAGACCGAATCTGCACGGCGCTAAGGCGAGAGCCACATGTTGAAAACCACCCGCCCTCCATGTGTAAAATGCTTGCCAAGTTCTAAGCCTCAGGGCTTGAGGAACTCTCAGGCGAACCGCCCGGTTAAAGAAGAGAGATGGAGGAGGAGGAGGAGGAGAAGGAGGAGGAGGGATGCACCAACCCGAGCTGCGCGCCAGGAGGAGGAGAAGGAGGAGGAGGAGGAGGAAGAGGAGGAGGAGACACAATAGGAAGGGCGGGGGAGAAAGAGGACATGGAGGACCAACAGGAGGAGGAGAAGGAGGGGGAGCGAGGAGAAGAACGAGGAGGAGGAGGAGGAGGAACAAAATAGCGAGATGCCCGAGCTGGAGGGAACGGCCAACGATGGGGGAGTGACTCGAGTAGGTTGGCAGGGGTACCGTGTGGACTCTGTGGTCAATGCACGGGGGAGGTGCCGAGGAGAGGGGAGCGGGATGAGGAGGGGGAGAGGGGGAGCAGGGGGAGCGGGAGGAGGAGGAAGATGAGGAGGAGGGATGCACCAGCCCGAGCTGCGCGCCAGGAGGAGGAGGAGGAAGAGGAGGAGGAGGAAGAAGAAGAGGAGGAGAATCAATACGAAGTTCGGGGGAAGAAGGAGGACATGGAGAACCAACAGGAGGAGGAGAAGGAGGGGGAGCGAGGAACAGAACGAGGACAAGGAGGAGGAGGAGGAACACAGCGAGGTGTCCGAGCTGGAGGGAAGGGCCAAAGAGGGGGGAGTGACTAGAGTAGGTTGGCGGGGGCAGGGTGTGGACTCTGTGGCCAATGCACGGGGGAGGTGCCGAAGAGAGGGGAGTGGGATGCTGAGGGGGAGAGGGGGAACAGGGGGAGCGGAGGAGGAGGAGGAGGAAGAGGATAGTAAGGAGGAGGAAGAGAGTGGAGGGAGAGGGGGGGAGAGGGGAAGAGGAGGAGCATGAGGGAGGAGGACGAGGAAGAGGAGGAGAGGCGAGGGGAGAGGAGAGTGGCATGCGCTGCTTCCCTGTGCCCCGTTGTGTGTCTTTCCTGTGGGGCGCGAAGATTGGCAGCCCAGGTTTCCATGGAGCAGGTCGAGTCTGGTGAGGCCTTGGGGCAGGTGGCGCGCGAGCAGGGGCAGCTAAAGACATCCGCGCTGGTTGCATGCAGCAGCTGCCGCATGCTGCGAGGGCCCAGCCAGGGCTCATGTCGATGTCCCCGATGCGCTTCGATTCGATTTCGATGGATTCCGATTCCGATTCCGATTCGATTCGACCTGGGATTCCGATTTGGGTTCCGATCTGTCCCTGGAGGCATACTCACCTGCCGATTTCCGGCGATTCGACTTTTTCGGACTCGGCTGCCGATTTCCGCCGATCCGATTCGTGTCCATCGCCGATCCGACTTATTCGATTCTGGGCTCTCCTGCCCAGCTCCAGCCTTGCAGGCGAGGGGCATCACACACCACGGCCGAACGCCGCCGCGCCCCGCCTCCTCCGCCTCGTATTCGTACTCGTCGTCGTCGTCCCTCCCCTCCCACCCCGCCCTGAGGTGCAGCACCTGCGCGCCACGATGATCCAGGATGGGGGGGCTGGGGCGCCTGTCTGGGAGAGCCGAGCGGGCGAGGAGGAGGAGGAGGAGGCAGGGAGAAGGAGTACAGTCAACACGCACAATAAGGATGAGCGACTTTCCAAGGCTACCCTTGCATCCTTCCCCTTCGGCCCGTCCTTGGCCGAGTTCGCAGGCCGCGCCCTGCTCGCAAAGTGTCGGCATGGCCTTCCAAGGCCCTTGCATTCTTATCGTGCGGCCTCAACGTGCATCCTGATGAGACGGGTTGCCTCTGGAGCAAGGGCTTCCGCGAGGGCGCGAAGTTATTCGCGCTTCGCGGTCCTCGTTCCTTCTCCCCCTCCTCCTCGTCCTCCTTTTCTCCCTTAGGGGCGGCGCGAGAGCGCGAAGTCATTCGCGCTTCTCGGAGCGCGAAGCGCGAAGCTGGGAGCCCTGGCTGGAGGGGCCCCAGGACACAGAAACAAATAGACACAAATCGCAGGATTCCCCACATTGTCCCACATTCCCTGTTTTTGTTGCCTTCCCCCCCACTTCCCATATTTTTTCCCGTCTTCTCCTGGGGATCCACGACTCACTGTGTCTGTGTGTTTTTTTCCCTCCTGACTACAGTCAACGCGTCTAGTAAGGACGCGCGCCTTCACCTGGGGTACCCGTGTGTCCTTGCCTCTGCGGGCCGTCTACTGGCGTTTTCATTGGGCACCCGCCGCCCCAGAATCCCAACCTCGGCCGCCAAGGGCCTTGCGTCCTTGTCGCCAGTCCTTGACTGTAGCTGGGGCAGAGGCGGGGCCCACGGCAGCTCGCGGACGAGCGGCCCCTGCCCGGAGCTCGGGCTCCGCACGGGGGCTGCCCGCCCTCTTCGCGTGCTCATGCGGGGCCTCCGCCGGGCGAGAGCCCAAGCCTCTGCCGCGCCGGGAGGGGCCCGGACGGCCGGCAGGCGGGCGCGCGTGCGTCGGGGGCGGCAAGGAGGGGGGTGGTGACCAGGGGGGGAGGAGGAGGAGGAGGAGGAGGAGGAGGAGGAGGAGGAGGAGGAGAATGTCATGGCGTTTTCGGCTCCTGGGAGCCCTCGCTGGGCCTCGGGGCCGTCCGGAAGCGGCTCAGGATGCAGAGCCGGTCCCGGAGAAAGGGTCGGGATTTCCAGGGACCCCGTATTGATCGGGGGCGGCAAAGAGGGGGGGGGGTGACCAGGGGGGGGGGATATCATGGTGGGGGCCATGATGTTTCCCCAGATTTCATGGCGCCTCTTCTCATTTCATTACGTCCCTGGCCCCCCCGCTGGGCCGCGCACATGCCGCCGGTCATGGTTTGCGTCCCCCCCCTCTTGGACACCCCCTCCTTGGCTGCTCCCGAGCAGGGCTGCGCATGGGAGGTGGCTAGACCTGCCACCCTCACACGTCGATCAGCGACGTGGCCGTTGTCGGTTCGCGAGAGGGCGTCGCGGCCGTCACGTTTGCGGGTCCAGGTCCGTCGGTTTCGGTCTTGGGCCGTTTCCCTTAAATGGAGGCTTACTGAAGGGAGGCTTGTCCACCGCCGAATGCAGAAGGAGGGAAGGTCGGCCACGCGCAGAGGGTGGCAAGGGTCAACCAGTGGCGAACGAAGGGTCCCGGTTTGCCCATGCGCAGGCCCACCAAAGAAGGCTTTGAGGACCTTCGAATGGTTTGCCCCACACGTCCTTAGAACATTTCTGGCTGAGACTGTTTTGTTCTGGCACATCGGGTTTCTATGCTTTCAGAACGTTTGAGCACGTTCGGGTTCTGAGAACATGTCGTGGTAGGCCCGTAGGACTACCGGGACGGTCGAGCACTGCTCCAAAGGGAGGTCGGGGGCGGACAGAAGCCCCAACAGTGACACGTCGATTAGTGAATTGTCCGTTTTCGGCTCTCGAGAGGGCGCCGCGGCCGTTATTTTCCAGGCTTGCGCCCGCCAGGTTTAGGCCTCAGGTCGTTTTCACTAAACCACGTTTTACTAAAGGGGGGTCTGTCCATCCCCGAGAGGGGGGGGGAGAAGGCTTCTTGGAAGCATCCCTGCCTGCTTAGAGAGGCGCGGGCCTTCTCCCCCTCCCCCTGCCCGCCCCCCTTGTGCTCGCCGCCCGAGGAGGGCAAAGAGGGAGGACTCGGAGAGGGCCCGGTCACGGGGGCCCTGTGGGCCGGTGCCCTTTTGCGTTCGCTCACAGAGTTGAAAGGGCACCAGGCAGACTTCGCGGAGTTATCATGTGCGCCAGAGCCTCGTGATCTGCTGGCTCTTGGCTCGAGTTTTTTTTTGTGGCATATTGTTCTCCGAGTCCGGCCGCAGATGAATGTCATGTTACAGTTCAACAGTCGTGAATTTCAGAGCAGCAAAAAATGTTTCCCGTGCCGTTGGGAGCGCGCGCCTCTACAGCTCCGCACTCCGCGTGTATCCTGTGCGGCTGGTGCTTGGCGTGTACATCGGAGGGCTGTTTCGGCCGACGCTGCTTTGCGTGTACGCGCCTGCGCTGCTTAGCGTGTCCGGATCTCCAAGGCTTCCGTGGTCTCCAGTATTTCCTGGATGTTCCGCATCAGTTGCGCCGCTAGATAAGCATTCTGGAAATCCTGGAACAGATCCTGAGCCAATCTTACCATGACGACATCCTTGCCCCAGCGAGGGGGGGTAATCGGGGCGGGGACCAGCAGGTGGCCGAGGGGCGGGGGGAGGGAGGGTCGGATAGGAGGAGGGCGGAGGGCGGAGGAGGAGAGGGAGAGGAGGGAGGAGATGGAAGAGGATGGAAAACGAGGAGGAGGATACTGTACAAACGAGGACCCATCCAGGAGAGGCCCGGAATGTGCTCCTACTACTCATTTCTCTTCCAGATTCAGCGCCTCCTCCTCCCTCTTGCATCCCCTCCTCGGGCTCCGTCCTTGTAGCCCTCTCTGGCCCCTTCCCCCAACTCCTTCTTTCCCCGTCCTCCACCTCCGTCTCATCCTCCCCCCTTGCTCCTCCCGCCCACTCCCCGTCGATGGGGAGAAAGACGACAAAGAAGACGACGAGGCCGAAACCGCTGACCGGGAGATGGGGGGAGGGGGGAGCGGTGCAGCCGCAGGCGGCCGTGCGCGGGTTCCTCGTACGCAGGCGCGCCAGTCGGCGCGGCGGGTTCGTCGTCGTCGTCGTCGCCGTCGCCGTCGCCGATGGCGTCGTCGTCGTCGTCGGCGGCGGCGGCGGCGTGAGCGTTGGCGTTGGCGTTGGTCGTCGTCTGCGTCGGCGTTGTCGTCCGTTATCTGTCGTCGGTCGTTCTCCGTCGTTGTCGTCCTCGGCGTCGTTATTGGTGGCGCTGCCATCGTCAGACGGATCGTCAGACGGAGAGGAGGAAGGGGAAGGAGGAGTAAGGGGGGAGGATGAGATGGAGGTGGAGGACGGGGAGAGAAGGAGATGGGGGGAAGGGGCCAGGGAGGGCTACAAGGAAGGAGCTCGAGGAGCGGGGCAAGGGGAGGGAGGAGGAGGCGCTGAATTGGGAAGGAGGAGGAGGAGTAGTAGGAGCGCAGTCCTTTCTCTCGCCAGCCCCCGCCCTGCTAGCTGCGCAAATCGGACCGTCAGTGGTCCGTTTAGCGCAGCTCGGCCCTGGCCAGCTAGCTGCCGCATCGGACCGCTTGTGGTCCGATTTGCGCGGTGCAGCCCCCACCAAACTGACTGCGCAAATCGGACCGGTAGTGGTCTGTTTTGCGCGGCACAGCCCCCTCCCATCTAGCTGCGCAAGTCGGACCTTGAGTGGCCCGTTTAGCGCAGCTCGGACCCGCCCAGCTACCAAATCGCACCACAACACACCGTACTATACGACTCAGCGCTTATGTCACTCATCACCGGCGCAACGTCCAAACACACACACACACACTAACATTATCCGTAGAGCACGCGCATCAACACCATACCCCAGTGCGAGACATCATTACTGGACAGTAGTGGCGACCACCAGTAACAGACACACGTAACATACACCAATGACGCACACATACACACAAACACCGAACACCGGTGGCGTACACCAACCAGAGATGAAGCCCATGCGCCAATAACGAACGCCAGATATATGTTATAGGTGCGCACATACAGCATGTATACACACCGAGAAGATGCCAGCACCAGGCGTCGATAACACAGAGACCATTAGTCATGGCGGGTCGCCAATCACATACATGGAGAACGTGCCTTCAGAACACACCAGGAGTTCATTACAATAGGATCGACAGGGAAGTAACATGCATCTGCACCAGGCATCCCTACCACACGCAATCACGGCAGTCCCGTGACAAAAAGACATGTAATGAGCACATCGCCATTCATGCGCAGCGCATGACGTGATTAATCAGTGTGTACGCAGCGTAGGGTTCACGTTGACAATGTTACACTATCATATAACGCGTGCACGGGCCATATACGTGAGTTGATGTATGATACACGCGATAGGTTTCAGGAGCCATTCGCAGCACCCCTTGGTGGGGATTACCCGTAGCAGTGGATGCGTGCTCCAACCTTCTGGATGGATTGAACACACATTGTTGCAATTGCATTTTTGAGGATAGTTTTCAAGACATTGTCTATGAACGTTTGTCCAATGCAGATGCTCAACGCATTCGGTAATGCCTTCGTTATCAGGTATTGTTCTTTACTGTATCTGTTGCATGCATTCCGAAGCTCCCTGGTGAACGAATGATTTTTCGCCTTTCCCTGCGAGCATACTCCCACCGTTCTTGCCTGCACCCCCCCTGTTCGCGATTTGTGTGAGCCTTGGCAGGCTTGCGCCAAGCGGCACCTGTTCCCTCCGATCGTCAGCCGCGCGCGGACGCCCCTGAAGCCCGCCCGAGCGCCTCCGCGGGGCCCTCCTCCGAGTGCTCTGCTCCTGCTTTGCGAGGCGCCGCCGGGTGGTGGCTGCGAAGATGCTGTGCATCCAGAACGCCTGGCGGCGCTTCAAGAGGAGCCCACTTCTGCTCGGCGGGCTTCTCTCGGCCCCCATCGGCACTTCGCGGATCGGGGAGGAGCGGGCATCGGGGCGGGGTAGATCGGTGAGGTCCATGGATCGAGCAGCACCAGATTAGGTCGGGGCTGGGAACTTGGGGGCTGGTTTGCGGCGGGGGGCTGGGGGGTTGGGGACCACACCTCCACCTACCTCGCTTTCTCTGCCTCTCTATGTCTCTCCCTCTCTCTCTCTCTCTTTCCCTCGCTCTCTCCCTCTTTCTTTAGTTCTTTCTTTCTTTCTCTCTCTCTCTCTCTCTCGGGCTCGTTTTTATCCCCTGGCGATAACGGCCGTTGCCGGGGGAGGGAGGGGGGGCGAAGGACGGCGCCGGAGCGAATCGTGAAGTTACCAGGCGTGGGGGAGGGGGGAGCATCCCTGGAAACGGTAGTTATCGCGAGTCGTAAAAAAAGCCTTCCTCCCTCTGTCTTTACGTTTGTCTCTTTCTCTCGCTCGCTATCGTTCTCTCGCTTTCTCTCTCTCTCTCTCTCTGTCTTTCGCGCAGCTCTGTGGATCTTGGGGCCATGTTGGAGGTCCCCTCGGGCCGTCTTGAAGCGCTTGAAGCGCGAACAGGCGAGAGCGCTACACTCGCTGAAACACTTGTGTGGGAATCAATGATGCGGGCCTCTGATTGGCCTTCTCGCGCGGAACGCTCGAAGAAATCCATTCCTCAGGGGCTTGCGCCTCTCACAAACCTGAACTCACCCCGCATAATAAGGATGGGCAACCTTCCCAAGGGTACCCTTGCACCCTTGCCCCCATCGGTCCATCCTTAGCGACTCTCGCTGACCAACCTCGTTCGAGAAACGCTAACGTGGCACTCCAAGGCCCTTGCATCCTGACCACGGATCCTTCTGATACGGGTTGACTGTATATTACATACGGAAGGTTTGACGGAGCCAGGGGACCCTCCATTCAGTATTCACGGCACGGTGGTGAACATTTGTGTTTATATGCCTAACTATAAATATATTGAGAAAAGGGGGATATACGTATATGTATATATATATGTATTTATATATACATGTATATACAGGGAGAGGGAGAGAGATAACGGGGGAAAAAGAGAGAGAGAGATAGGGAGGGAGGCATGGAGGGAAAGAGAAAGAAGGAGGGAGGATAAGGCAGGGAGGAAGAGAGAGAGAGAGAGATAGAGAGAGAGAGCGGGACAGAGAGAGAGAGAGAGAGAGAAAAAGAGAGAGAGAGAGAGAGAGAGACAGAGAGGACACACATTGTCCCTCCGCCTCCGCCGCTTCTCCCTCCTCTACCTGGCCCCCTGGTAGGAGGAATAGACATATAGAAATAGAGAAGGAGAGAGGAACACAACAAACAAGAGACACCACGCACATCGGCCACCCTTGGGACGAGAAGTACGGTTGGGGATCACGCCACCTTTGATTTGCATTGTTCTCATACGTCGACTCACGAGTGCACAAACATCGGGGCATCATCAGGTAGGTTCATTATTTTTTGTTGCATACATGTAAATCCAATTGTATGTGTGTATATATGTGCTAGAACAACGCGCACGCTTCGCGCGCGCTTCGATTATGACAAGCTCTGGTTTTAGAAGTGTTCAGCATTGGAGGACATAGATTGTCGCACGGGTCGTGCCCCTCAGGGAGTTCCACCTGCGGCCCCAGATGCAGGCGTGGCCAGCGTCCCCATCGCGCCCCACAGGGAGCTCCACCTACGGCCCCACAGACACGGTTCGCATAGTGGCATGCCCTTCGCGCGTATCTGGCCCCGCAAACAGCTGCATGTGCTGCACCAGAGTGAATTCTCATAGCGTCGTCACGCTCACTTCGGCACACCTCTCACACGGATCGTGGCCCGCCGGGAGTTCCACGGACGATGGCCCCAAAGGCAAGGTTCGTATTGCGACCCCCTTTGGCCATTGCGGCACACCGCATCACGCGGATCGTGCCCACAAGGACAAGGAGCGCCACCTGAAGGCCCAGAAACAAGTTTCGTACAGCGCTCCCCCGCCCATGTTGGTAGACCCGTTACACGAACCATGCCCGAGAAGGAGTTCCCCCCATGGGCAGTTCCGAATAGCGTACCCCCGCCCATTTCGGAACATGCCTCGCACGGGTCGTGCTTGAAGGAGGTCAATTTGTGGCCTCAGTGGGGGCAGTCGCGCGGGGGTACCCGAATCATTCGGCACACCCTTTGCCCGGATTGTGTCCTACACGGAATTCAGGAACGCAGCACACCCGTGCTCGTTTGCTCCGCAGCAGCCATTTTTCGCATTGCCCCGCGGCGCGCAGTGTATGAAGAGAGACCCGCGCCCTGCGCTAATCATGAATGCATATGGATGTGTCCGTCTTCAACACGAATGCCTGCTTCTCTATGTCCTTCGGCCCATACCGCTACTGTCCTGAACTTGTGTTTTGGGCCAAAGGATCCATGGGTATCTACAATTCGGGGTCTCTTGGCATGCTTCCCGGGCGCCTCGTGGAGCGAGTGTTGGAGTTTTTTGTGGCCTCATGTGGGCCATGTGGGGGCCTCTTGTGGCATCTTTTAGGGCCCTTGGGGGCCTCTTGGGTGTCTGCTGCGGCCTCGGGGGCCCACTCGTGGCGGCGGGCTGGGAAGGTCAGTTGGAGTTCCCCCTCTTGGACTCCTCTTGGGCAATCTTGGGTGCTAACTGTCTTAGGGCTCTCTTGGGCCGTCCTTGGGCTCTCTTGGAGGCCTTTTGGGGCGATCTGTGGGGCCTCTTGGGCCTGTGAGGACGCTGTTCAGACCCAAACAGCGAATATGCTAAGAATGCACCGTCCCCCCAGGGGATGAAGCAATTTTGGTCTCCTGAGGCCATCTCGGGGCGCATCTTGGAGCCTCCGACGTCTTCGGGGCCGTCTTGAAACAATATTCGGGCGTCTTCGGCCCTGTCAGGCCGCTCTGGTCGCTTTTTGGTGGCCTCCGGGAGGCCCCAGAAGGGGTCAAACATGTCGTGGGGGAAATCGGGAGGGCGTCCCGGTCCAGGCCCTGGGCCCCCGGTACGCCAGCATACATGCAGGGCGTTTGGGTGCCCTCACCGAGCCCCAGCGTCCCTGTCTGCCCCGTGCCCTGCGTTCTCCCTTTTTCTCCGGTGCGAGCCGCGCGCGGGGGTTGTGAAATACAGGAAGGGTTATGAGGAACCTGCTTCTCCTCCCCCTCCTCCTCCTCCTCCTCCTCCTCCTCCTCCTCCTCCTCCTCCTCCTCCTCCTCCTCCTCCTCCTCCTCCGCTTCCTCCTCCTCCTCCTCCTTCTCCTCCCCCTCTTCCCCCTCCTTCTCCTCCCTCCTCTCTCCTCATTTCTAGGCCTCCCAGATAGTGTGCGAGTGGATGGGGTCGGTGGATCGCGCCGCATCGCCGATGCATCGGCGATGCGGCTCGATGTGGATCCCGATCGTCTCCACGCTGGAGTCGCCGATGCATCGCCGATGTCGCCGATGCATCGCCGACGAATCGGCGATGTATCGCCGATGTATCGGCAATGCGGCTCGATCCTCAGACCCCATCTACTCCGACCCCATCTAGGAGGCCTCTATCCTTCCTCCTCGTCGCCACTGACATTCACTGGATGGTGCGATTCGGTCACAGAAAGCTTCATTGAAGTAGTGACCCACATGGAAATAAACGTGTAGGTAGTTCCCCTCAGTTACGGATAAGAGTGCAGAGGCGGGCGCGGGGAGTGTCGCGGGGTGGGTCGCGGGCGGGTCGCGGTCGGGTCGTGGGTGGATCGCCGGTGGGTCGAGGTTGGGTTGCGGACGACGACAACAAACAAGAAACAACAAGCAACACGCACAACAACATGAACAACACAACTAGCAACACCAATCACATCAGTAACAACACGCCACCACCAACAACAGCAACAACATCAACAACAACAACAGCGACAGCAACAGCAGCACCAACAACAGCACCAACAACTACAACACCACCAACATCCACATCAACACCAACCGCAACAGCAACACTACACCAACACCAACAACAAACACACCACCACCAACAACAACACCCATTTTAAGACTGTTCGCTCTTATCTGCTGGCGTTCCATTCAACACGTACATCCCAAACCCTCGACACCCGCCTTCTTCGTCTTCGATCGTACCCCCTTATAAGGGGTATATATTTATTCCCTAATGCGGGTATTTCGCGCAGCCCCTAAGGAAGGGGAACAGAGGACGGATGGAAAGAAGGGACAACGGAGAGGGAGGAGGATGGAGCACGAGGGAGCGTAGCAGGAGGGGGTTAGGAGCAGAAAACACGTGGCAGGATCAGACGTGCCGATCGGGCGGGTAGACTCCAGCGTGCGAGTCGGGAAGGCGGGGCCAGGCGGCCAGGACGAGCAGGCGGGTTGCTGAAACGTGCGTCCTGCATGAATAGCGAGCAGGTCTCGAGCAACAGCGCGATTCCCCGATAAATCGTAAGGCATCCACAGCGAGAGCGTGAGTCCTGAGTGTCGAGGGCGCGGCGTTTGGATACATTGCGAGGAAGTCCCACGCGAGAGCGTGAGTCCTGTATACATGTTGAGGGCGTGCTGCGCGAGAGCGTGATCTGGGAATACAGTGTGACCCCTCGCTCCCCCTTGTACAAAAACAGGGCTCTGAAGGAACAGTCAACACCAACAACAGCAGCACCACCACCTACAACAATAGCAGCAGCAGCAACAACAGCGGCAGCAGCAACAGCAGCAGCAGCAACACCAACGACAACAATCCGCACCGCGGACGCCCATAACAGCCACGCGCCCACGGACAGTGAATGACCGTTCGGCCCCCATCACTCTGACCAGGCATCAACATATACCAATCACGTGGATTTAGCCGAGGCCTACGGCTCCAGAGGAAGGCAGGGTTCACACATCGTCCTCCCACCAATCTCGGAGTGGCCCTCACGGATCGCCCCGCCCCCCGTGGGTTCCATTCTCGGGTCCAGGAACAAAGTGTGCATGGGTCGTACCCGATTGGGAGCTCC